GATAGATGCCTGCAAATATTCCCATGTCACTGCTGTCTTCCAGTAGACGCTAGGGCCAATTATAAGGCACTGTTTTTGAACTGTACACTAGTATAAGGCTCTATCTACTTTTTAGCCCCAGCTGGTAGTTCACATCTGCAGCATTCATGGTGTAAGGATATTTTAGAAATAAACAGAAGGTGTAAGCTTTTTTTTTCATTATTAGATACTATACAGTGTTGTTTTGTTTTTGTTTTTTAATGGGAGAACAAAACAACAGAGTGTATCAAAAAAGGAAAAAAATGGGGAAATAGTTCATTGTTTGAATTATTAATGAGTCAAACAGCCACTTCCTTTCATGGAGACTAGAGATTTAGCAGATAAAAACTTGAGTCTATAAATATGATAGAAGCTACGGGTGTTTTCCACCTGCAGCTTTAGATACATTTGGTCCCATTTGGGTCAGAGTAGAAGTGCAGTCAGACTCTAATGTGCACCCCGAAATAGTAAACCTGAAGAGGAGATCTCGGTTCGACTCCAGCCGAATTCTTGAGTGCACTAAATGTCACAATAGTGTGACCCAACGGCCAGGCTCAGCAAGTTTGAGCTAGAAGGGCTCCTGTAATCAATGAATGAAGAAAGAAGGAAACTTGTCATGGACAAACTTGGACCTCAGAATTAATACTGTGTCTGATACTAATCTGGTCAGAAGATTTTATCATGAAGCAATTGTCCAGCAAACAGAAACAGCCACATAGAGGCTATTTTCAGCCAAATATGCAGGAAAAAGGGGCTTTGTTTGGTCTACTGAGTTGTGTGCCATGAAAGGAAAAGCTATTACCTCACATATTGAAAACATATTGCTTTACAATATTATTTACTAAGAGCATAAATCACCTTGTTGGTCGTCAGTACCAGGGCCAGATGGGGATCTCACAGCGCCTGTTAAGGAGCATTAACCTGCATCTTCTCCTGAACATACATGCATCCATGTTATTTGTTATTTTTAAGCTGCAGCTGCGCTTCATTTTCAAACACTATTGTTTGCCAATAGTTGACATTAAAACCACTGAGAAAAAAACTGTGAAAGCTACTGATTACTGGCTCACCTCAGTCTCTATCGTGAAAGTTTACCTCTGTTACTTTTTCAGCACTTTTGCATTTCAACCAGTTGTCATGAAGACATAGTAACTGAAAAAGGAAACACTTTTTTTTTTTTTTTTTTACATTCTGGGCCGCACTACGGTGTGCACTTAAATTCTGAATCCTTATTAAAATAAAACTCCAGAAGAAAAAAAGTAAAAGAAATTGGTGCATGGGACATTTTCTTGCCAGTGCACATTATAATCAGACATTTATTTAGCATAATGTCTTAAATACAGGGGGCCCCATTGGCCCTCGTCTAGAACCACCCATGTCAAACACCCAAACCTCCACTCAAACTTTAAATGATTTCCTTATAATTTTCATTTATTTTATCCTTTTTTTCACTGGCTTGATTATATTATTTTGACATTTTATATTCCCTTCATTAGAGGCATAATTTTATTATAATTATTATTGCTGTTGATGTTTGTATATTGTATTATTGTTATACTTTGAAAATCCTACCGGAAGGGAAGTCAAACAGTGTGTTTGGTGTGTGGTTGGACAGGCGCTTTGGGGATCTCCTGTCAAAGAAAAACAAGAGCCCGTCGAGGAGCCAAGTTGTTCTCTAGAATAAAAAACAAACAAAATAATTTTATCTATGGGGGCAAAGATACTGTTTGCTCCAGCTGATTGCGCTGTTTGTGTTTGCGCTCTGGGTGCGTCACTTAGGCGCGCGCGCATCCCAAACTTGTGGCTGACTGATAGTTGACATCGCTGCCCTGTCAGCTCTCATGGTGTGATGACACGTCTCACCTGAGGAAGTGAAATTATCTAGGTGATCACAAGACCGAAAAACATCGTTTGAAAACAGAAATGTTGTTATAATTGTGTAATAACGCTGTTCAATGTGCCCTCTCATTAAAGATCGGTCTGGGAGTTTTATCTTATCTATTTATTTGTTTTTATAAATATCATAGCAACAAGAGAACTCACTGCACCCTTTCCATGACGTCTGGTTTAAAAAGAAATATGTGAGAAAGGGCAAAGCTTTTCCTCGGAAAATAGAAAATAATGAGGGCGTCACCAAGAATACCAAAAAAACAAAAAATCAGTTACATTTTTTTTAAATGAGTAAGGTCCTGTAATACTAAGCCCTGGTCAGCAGGGGGAGCCACACCAGTCCATTATACAACAGTAACTTGCAGAAAACTGTGAAGTAAGTTAAAGGAATACTTTGATCAATAATAGTTATGTGTTTGTAAGCCCCGCCCACTTTGGTGTTTTATTCATAATAAAAACTGCAAGGTACCAAATGCTATCCAAGGGGATGGGTTAAATGCAGAGCTAAAGTTCCCCAATGTGAGACCAATAAAGTTCAATTGTTTATTCATTAATTTGAATGAGCTTCATAGCTGAGCAGTCAAAAAGGAGTGAATGCAGAACTAGTTTCCCGGGGAATCTCCTTTCACATCCCTCCGACTTCTTCTGCATGCCAGTGTGAAACTCTCATTCATCTTAATGCAATAATCTCCCATCCTACCCTTCTGCAGCCCTCCTAGTACTTTATCAATCCCATCATTTCTAAGCATCTGCTATAACCCTTTGGAGCTTAATTTCCATTATATAGCACATATCTATAGGGCTGGATCTGACATTAATGGCAGCTTTAGCTCTTTTTGCCTTTCCCACATTAAAAATGCTTCAAATTAATATGGATATTATACAGGTAATAAAATACGAAACATGTAAACAATTCTTTCTAAACTCATCAGCAAACAGGGAAGCTAGACTAATGTGACCGACGCACTAACTTTATGTCGCCTATCTCATATCTGGGCCTAAATAGAATAGAAAACTATAAGACTTGTTCTTATGAATTCTTTCACATCTTTATTAATTTTAAATTCATTTTAAAGAGACATTTTGTAATATTTTTTATTGAAAAACATCTTTAAAGTATCATTTTTATCTGACCATTTACAACTAAAACACGGTTTGATGAGCTTACTGACACTTCAGTAGTTCAATACTGATGCACCTATGACTCCGTAGCCTACATGATAATTGATTCATTGTTTTTATTGATCTCACAGTGGTAAAATATATATATATATATATATATATATATATATATATATATATATATATATATATATATATATATATATATATTTATATTCTAACACTGTGAGATCAATAAAAAAATGAATTAAGCGATTTTTTGTTTTTTTTTATATAATAATATCACTATACGGGGTTATAGCGCAGGGTGCTTACATGGGTATTTATATAGATGGATATTTATATTTATATATATAGTTATTGCACTGGCTGTGAAATATAGAGAAACAGGTTAATGGCTCTAATTATTTAACAAGGCCAGTTTTTCCTCAATTTCATGATTCATACATTTATTGTGTTTATTAAGAGAACTGAAACATTGCAGTGTAATTACTCGGTGGTCTCTGAATCTAGGATTTTATTCTTGTTTAAATGCAAGGTTTCTCTGATGCCTTAAAGAAAAATTTATTTGTATTCTTTAACTACCAGAGAAGACATTTAATAATTTTCATGAGTTTAAAAGAATAAATACCCTACCATTCCTGATTTTGACCTGGAGTATAAGAGTAAGGATTTAATGCTGGATACTAAATCTGATGAGAATGGAACAAACAAACAAAAAGGTAAAAGTTGGTTTCAAAATATATTTTCTCAGTGTTCAGATTGTTCTAAGCACTACCCACCGGTAATAATTTTTTTCCTCCTTTTCTTTAAGCCCTTATCACTCCTTTACAGAAAACCACCCGGGTGGTGAGCCATATCCCCCTTTGCCAAAAAGCGAACCACTTAGTATAAGGGAATTATGATGTTTTACAGATGTTTTATCAAGCAGTCTATTTCTGGCCAGGGGCGGAGCTAGATAGGGGGCCAGGGGTGGCCATGGCCACCCTTAGCCAATCTAATACAGATGGTGGCAGCAGTAATGCTCTCAATGGAATATTCAAAGCATTTACATTTTTCATATGAACAATTCATTAACAACAAAAACCCTCTGGTTAATTATGCACATTAATATACAAACATTAAAGATGATAAGTACAGAATTCATGCTCTTTTCAGAAGAAGACTTTCTGTTTTATGGGGTAAAGAGAAAATTATGTGTCTCTGCAGGTCATCTAAGAGTCTTCAGTAAAATTATTGATAAATAACTATTTTAATAAAACCAATTAAATAATCAATTTATGTAGATATTAGTACTTGTAAATATCAATTTTATGCAGAATGATAATTGATAAAAGTAGGTAAGTAATGACAATGGAAAAGATGTTCCCCAGAACTCAAACTTTAAAGAATTGTATCCATTATACCTTTTATCTAGAAATTACAGATGTTTAAATATTTATGCGTCTATTTGTCAGCAAAGGTTGTAGGAAAATATAGTTTATCTTTATGTAGAAAATGTGGATGTTGTGCCCATTAATTTTCCTGGGATCAACTTTCAGCCACCCCTCAGTGTACGTTGGTTATTGCCTGGCCACCCTTATAAAAATGTTCTGGCTACGCCTCTGTTTCTGGCAGCAGAATGATTTATTGACTGTGGGAAACTTGCGAACAGGTTTTTGCACTTCAGTAACAACAAAACAGGGCAGGTTGCCAGACAAGAATCCACACCCAGCAATCTGTGCGAAAAGCTCCCAGCTCAATGAAACTGGAGAGTTTAAAACAGCTGCCAGATCCCCTCCATGCATTCTCTGTTTACTATCAGCTGGTCTCTAAGTTAAATGTTATTGACTCACATGGTGAAACTATAGAGATGTGGGGCTGTGTTTTCTAACCCGTTATTTTGCTCCTATTTGAAACCATAATTTGCTGTGTGAGTAAGAAACACGGAAATGGAGATGAGTGCGATGGAGGGGGAGGACCTTCTTTGTGTGGAACAGTTTGCGCTCAGTCCGCATCAGACGCGCAACTCTGACAGGCTGCTGCTCTGACGCGCTCCAGCTCATGCGGGAATATTAACCTCTAATTATTACTCTTTATTTCCCCTTAGATCCTCTCAGCTCAGGGTTTGTTTGTGTTTTTGCAGCATCACTGCAGCTGACTGAAGGAGTGGAGGGATCTCTCCTCCTACCTCACCAGATAAGATGGCAAAAACAACGTTTCAAACCTCTGCCTTGATTCAAAAGTGGTGACAAGTTGACTTCACACACGGATGTGAGCCGGAAAAGACTAACAGGACGTTTTTTTTTTATTTTCAAGGGAAGGATTACATTTTTTTTCTCCTTTTTTATTTTCCTATCCAGCGATGAGCCAGGCTCCTACAGTGGGCCCCTGAACCCGGACAGACACAGTTTTGTGGGTTTTTTTTGCTCTAACCAAACTCCAAAGGAGGGATTAAGATTAACACCGCTGGTTCTGTGCAGATTAACGCAGGGATGACAGTGAAGCTGGACTTTGAGGAGTGTCTGAAAGACTCTCCTCGCTTCAGGTGAGATCAACTAAAACTATAACATTGAGGAGACAACTGAAGCTCAACTTTAAGAGCTAAATTCAATCTATTAGGGAGTCCATCTGAATTAAATGTGGTGTTAAGGATGTGTGTACTGATTTTAAGTAGGCCTGTTTCATTAAAAAATATAATATATTATAATCTAGATTGCTAAAATGAAGTTTTTACATTTTAAGCATCAACTTCTGTTCACTTAGTCTATCACAGCTTATGACCTCCACCAGGGGCGGAGCTAGATGGGGGGCCAGAGGTGGCCATGGCCACCCTTAGCCAATCATTGGCAACCCCCACCATTTTTTCTGCCTTTAATACAGACGTTGGCAGCAGGGGAAAGTTCAAACTTATTAAACATTTTAATTTTTCATTTATTAGCAATTGCTTAACAACTAAAACACTGTGGTTAATTATACACATCAAAATACTAACATTAAAGTTGATATATACAGAAGTCATGTCCTCTTCTCCACTAACCTTTGTGTTTTATGGGGTAAAGAGAAAATTATGTGTCTCTGCAAGTCATCTAGGAGTCTTCAGTGAAATCATAGATACGTAACTACTTTAATAATAACTTAATGTAGATATTAGTCCATGTAAATATTAATTTTATGCAGAACATTTTTTGATAATAGTAGGTAAGTAATGGAAAAGATGATTTTGTCCACTAAACCTTTTATTTAGACGGAATGGATGTTTAAATATATGCGTCTATTTGTTAGCAAAGGCTGTAGGAAAGTATAGTTAGTCATATTTAAAAAAATATATATGGATGTTTATGCATGTGTATCCAGTTTAGATTGAGCCTGAGGTTCTGGCACCTATCCGTTTTCCGCCACCCCTCAGTGTACAGTGTTTTTGACTGGCCACCCATATTAAAATTTTTCTAGCTACGCCTCTGCCCCCCACATGTGATCTCAAAGCAGAATTTAGAAAAGAATAGAAAATCTCTTCATTGTCCCACAATGGGGAAATTCTTGTGTTACAGCAGAACAAAGAACATTATAGAAAAAATTTTCACACAAATGTGGACCTTAGAAAAGTGTATAAAATAACATAATAGTGAAGATTAAAATAAACAAAACAATATAAAGTACTGTAGTGTAAAGTGTTTTAACAATATAACAACTAGGCACCTGGAGAATAAATAACCAATATATGGCTGTGGATATTTTTGCATAAATGGATATTTTAAAACAGCAGCAACATCAGAGATGTGCAAAATGACTGACAATTTGCTTAAGAACAATGCCGACTTTCTCAAAAAAGTGTCTTATGTTTCCGCCTTGCAAATACGTTCGATACTTGGTTGTGGCTCCTTTTGCACAAATGTCTGCATTAATGCAGCATGGCATTGAGGAGATCTGCTGAGGTGTAAAGGAAGTTGTCATAGATTTAGTTCTGGGTTGAGGTCTGACCAATTTTCCAAGCGGTTCATTGGCCATTGGGGCAAGAAAGCAGTATTTCCACAAGACCTGTCAGTAAAAGCAGACACATGTTTGTCTTAGGTTTCCTAGACAGTGGTTTGAATTCAGGTTTGATCATATATAGTGGATCAGTGCTCCGCAAATCATTACAAACGTTCAGTTTAACACCAAGCATTTCACAACTTCTGTCTACCTCTCCATTGCTTCTTCATACTCTGGAGCAGTGGTGTCATCTCAGGTGTAGGAGTGGCATATAACACATGGATGAAACAGTTGTTGCCCATCCATGTTGTGTGACTCGTAACCATGGTTCCCGGATGAAGTCCAAACCTTGAGAATCTCCTGTAAACTAGATTTAACTTTGATTCACAATCCTCTGAAGACTGCGTTTTTCCCTTTGCCCCTTTATCTAAGTGTGCTAGAGATTAGACTCCCCCGTAGGAGAAATTAACAGAAACTAGCTCCGTAACCTGACCTTTTTATTTTTAGTTTCTCTAAATCAAGCATCCCCAAAGTCAGTCCTGGAGGGCCACCGTCCTGCAGGTTTTAGAGGTTTATTTGCTCCAGCACAGCTGATTTACATTGATAGTTGATTAACAGGCCTTTGCTGAACTGCAGTCATCAGAATCAGCTGTGCTAAAGCAGAGAAACCTCTAAAACCTGCAGGACAGCGGCCCTCGAGGACCGACTTTGGGGATGCCTGCTCTTAATCAACACATCAAAAATGTTACTTTAAAGTGTGTGTTTTTTTTCTTAATGAATTTAACTGCAAAGTAAAGCTTTGAGTGTAATATTCTATGTGCGAAGTCATGGTTTTGCTGGGGGCCCCCTGCTGGCCTGGAGGATCTCAGTAAAATCTTTAGTTGCTTATGTTTGGGCGGGCTATGTGCATAGGTTTGGTGCAAGATAGAAGATAAAAAATGTTCTTTCCCCATATGAGTTCAATTAAGCCGTTCCACGTGGATACCATACGAGAGCCTTATTATGAGGCAAGAGCATGAAGACTCATCCAGCTAGCTGAGGAAAAATAAAAACAATATTGGGTCCCAGAGGTATAAGTTGTCATATTTTTATTATGCCACTTTTGGAGTCAACACCAATGAATACCACAGAAAGATGGGGATTATGAAAGTAGAGACAGAGTTCACAGATGCATATGAACTAAGTATTTGGAGTCTAAGTATTTCTGCAGCCATGCGGTACTCCCAGACTTACATCCAGCCTGGATCAATCTATCTTTATGTAGTTTCCGTAAGGAGTTGACACCGCAGGTCTAAGAAATGCTGGCAATTATTTTTCTTTCAACATCAGCAGCTGGTGTAACCTGGAGGGAAGTGTCACTAAGCTGGTTTTGCAAAAAGGCTAGAGAAAGCAGGGTGTGCCCCCACAGTTCCTGGCACCCTGCCTGATTCGCTTCTTCCCCAGCAAATTTACACCCTCCATCCGTCTTGCCCTCTTTTATTTTGCCCTCTCCTCGTGCCTCTGTTGCCCATGTTGTTTTTACGCGGTGGAAAGTTTGAGCCTCAGCAACCCTTCTGAGCTGTTTTCTCATGTTAGGCGGAGGGGAATATTGGGGGTGAGGTTTTGGTGTTGCTCAAACGTATCATTATGATGGATAAAACATGGAGAAATTTAAAACAAGAATGTGACAGCTCCTGGTCAACCGTTCAGATGAGTTGTTGCCAGGTAACCGGAGGGGTGGGGGGCAGCAGGAAGTGAGGCGAGATGTGCTGCATTGATCAACAGCAGGCAGGAAGTGAGTTCTCTGTGCGGAGAACCACGACGGAAACTCAGCCTCAGCGCTGTCTGAGTTTGCTCTCTTTGCTGCCTTTCAGAAGAGGTGAAGTGGTGAAAGATGTACATCGGCTGAAGGAATATAACACCTCTGGTGCCTCGTGTTTAATTCACTTTCTTTCCCCTTCATTGATGTGTTGTTTAGTTGTATTATAAAAAGGGCCTGACCTAAGACTCTTTGCACTCACAAACACAAGCATATATTGTCTGTCCCAGCTCTCCTCTCTTCTCACCCCACTCAGTCTCATCTCTCTGTGTAAGTGTGTGTGTGTGTGTTTTTCTGCTTGCTGTACTGTTGGTGGAAGGCAGCGGAAACCACATGCTTGAGCTGCTGGCAAGAAATGAGAAGACAGACAAAAAGAGACACTGACTAATGCTCCAAAACCCTCTGAAAACTCGCTTAGTACCATGACCTGTGTGCATATTTGCGGCAGAAAGTTTGACAAGGCCTCAAACATGTGCTTTTCAGTCAAATTGAAACATATTTTCCCCTTCTGGATGTTATACTTTGTATTTAAACAAGCATAAACGGAACAGCATGTCCAAAACTTTTCTCATATCCAATGGAATGCATCTAAGATAATGCAGAAGGTCAGCAAAGTTTCTAAAAATACCAAAGACGTCATAAGTTTCTTTGATGTGTTGGATGTAAAGATGCCTTGTAATTAGGGTTCTGGAATGCTGCTGTGCCAAATGCAAGATTTTACTGTTTTAATAGGTGTTTTTTTTGCTAAAAAAGTAACAAAAATGGAGGAATCTCAAAATAAGATTGAACTTAGCTGCAAGGAAGTGTTTAAAAAAATATTGTATAAGGTTTTTATGTTAGATTTTTGGTTTTTATGTTAGATTTTTTATGTTAGAGCACATAAGGGTGCTCTGGGTGGAATTATTTAGTACTAATTCATCCCCTTTTTTTAAACACAGTGTACTAGAAACAAAAACAATAAACTATTATACAATTATATGTAATTCTAATAAATAAACACATTAAAAATAAAATATTTTAAAATTCCACCCATCAAGTGCACAGTATTTTGAATTGGAGTCGTCATTATATCAGTGTGCACTGCCTCATTGCCATGATTGGTAAAGTATGGTATTTTAAATGCTATGCTTTAAAGCTTTATAATTAGGTATGTGTTATTTTATATAAAAAAACCATACCATTATTAGGGCAATAACTCTGCTATTACCTATTAAGCCTTAAAAGAGGAACGTCAATGTTTTGAGAGAGCAATAGGAAGATTTTATCCCCACCTGTCATGTTTAATAGTTTGTGAGTAAACCAAGTTCAGACTGCAATATGTGGAAACTTGTGATGAAATTAATTGAAGCTACAATTAAAAACAGAAGGAACAAGCCTGGGAACATTGGCAATGAAACAAGTAAAGGCGTTAATGAAAGAAACTAACAAGGAGCAAAAACCAGGGAGCTTCTATACGGTGGGATGTGTGAATGCTGACAAAGAATGCATCTGTTAATCAGGTGATATGTGAAGCAACTGAGGCAGAAGGTAATTAACCATACTAAGGGTTCAATTAGTTAAAATAGAAGTAGCTGAACTAAGAACCGATTTAAATGAGGGGGATGATTAACTGAGAGTTAACAAATATCATTTTAAATTCATAAAGGGCAAAACGCAAGAATGAACTTAGAAATGAAACCCACACAAACATAAAGAACAGCAAAATGACAAAAAAAGGACTCCAAAGAAACCTAAACAAGTATTACATAGCAAATATTAAATATTTTTCCTCCTTAGGGTCTGCATTTTCCTTTACTCTCTTCTCATTTTATGTGTAATCATATAAGCCATTGTATAGTATTTCAAATATGAATAGCCTTTGTTATAGTTTGGATATCATCAGAAAGTGTCTGTAGGTGTTTTTGTTAGGAGTTCTCATGTCGCAGCAACTTGTTGAAAACCAGGTCATTTTTTAAAAATGCTGAGAATGCCCACTAATTAAAGTTCTCTGTATTTTCATTGGGTTTCTTGGAAGAAGATGTGCTTTAAAAATAACTTTTTATTCAATTCTCAGAGGCATTTATAGCTAATTTGTTAAATATTCACAAGAAAATCAAAACTCATTCAATAACCTGCAGTTTTCATTATAAAGCCAAAGTAAAACTCTATTAAGACGTACACATTATAAACAGACAAAATTAAAGATGCTTGTCAAATATTTAAAATGCTTTTAGTAGATAAATATGTACATAGAAATGTTGCATAGAGGTTAGGTGTAGGAAGTGCAAATCTATAAAAGCAGGTGTTGGTCAGCAGGGGTGTTTGTGGGATCATATGTGTCTGAGAATGGCCATGTACAGACAGTGTAAGGTAGAATTCCCATAGTACATTATGGACATTTACAGGTACCTATGGTGACAGCCGTTTGGCTGTAAATCTATCTGTAGAGGCTTCAGATCTTATTTGTTTGTAGCCACATTATTAGGACTAAAACATAAACATGTATATTCTTTAAATGTGATGTCAAGCAACAGTTTTTAAGTTTGACCATGGAAATTTGGGTTTATTAATCTTTTATTAATTTGAATGAAAAAATATGTGCCAAACAGCTACATATGTGAAAGTGTGTTTCAGTTAAACTTAGACACTTAAACAAACTTTATTGTAATGTATAAATACAGTGTATACAAAGCGAAATTTCATTTTGTATAGCTCTAATGACGTCTCCAATTCTAGGGCTCTTTCTGCTCGCTGGCGTCAAGGGCCACCATACATACATATTGGGGGGAAAAAAGAAATTTACCTCTGCATTTAACCAATCCCCTTGGGGCTGCCATTGTGGGGCATTCAGGATTTAAGGATCTTGCTCAGAGAGCCAAAATGGTAGTCGGTTTTAAACACACAGCCTAAGGATTCCAATCTCTATACCCTAACCACTTGGCCACCACTCTCTAAAAGTTACCTCCTTTGAGCCGGATTCAAACCAGCAACCTAAGGATCTCCGAAGTCATACCCTACAGTCCTCCGCTCTACCAACTGAGGAATCAAAGGGGCCATAGAGCTACCGTAGGGGCCTTGGAACATATGTAGGCGTGAAAGTGTTAAATTAAATGTGCAAAAGTTTACAGCTATGAATAAAATGTGTAAAGTGGTTGAACTTCAACCTACAAAAAATTTGGTCTGTTTGTCCGTTTCAGAGCTGAAATCGAAGTTGTCCAAAATGACGTGAGTGAGCTCGAGACTCGCCTGGAAAAGGTAAGGCTGACCTTTATCACCTATTCCACATCCAGTCAGGTATATCAGCTGTTAGGGGAAAAGCTCCCTTTGGGGAAGGAGGAGTGAGAAGTGTTGGTCAGGGGTTTGGGGACAGCTTTACCTGAAGCCAGCAGGAAGTAGCTGCAGGTACTGCTTCCCCATCATATTACCCTCTCGGTGACAGAGAACAACACTTTGTTCTGCTTCAATTCGTCTTCCCTGCTTTACAAATACGTTACGGTTTCAGATGTATTCAGCTGATAAGCTAATAGACCAAATGCAGCGTTTCTGTTCCCCTGATCATACCTAATACACACGGAATGAAATGCCACACTGCAAAAAATAGGTCAATTTTTCTTAAAATGTCAGCATTTTTCTCTTGAATTAAGCAGGTAAGTGAGACACTTTGCCAATGGAATAAGAAAATTTACATCCAAAATAAGAAAAAACTGTTGCACCGTGTTATTTTTAGTGCATAATATCAAATCATCTTATTTTAAGAAAAAAATACTCATTCTTTTGGCCGATCATCTTATTTACCTACTCAAAATAAGGGTAAATGCACTTATTTTAAGAAATGTTGACTTTTATATGCATTTGTAGTTTATTCCATTGTAGGCCAGAGAAAATTCACTTTCTGCACTTTATCTGAATAAGAACCACAACATCTTATTATTCAGACTCTATAAAATGGATAGGAGCAGTTTGATTTATGAAACCACATGAGCAAAAAGAAAAAAAAAGAAAAGCAAAATGAGATGAAAAAACGGTTATCTGGCTTGTGCAACTCAGTTTGAAATTTGACCTGCCTGTCAAAGAAAGGAAACAGACAAACATTTTTTTTTCCCGGCGAGATCAGATGGATTTTTTTTTTTTGTCACTTCTCTCTTTTACTCAAGATGTGTTTTAACATGCCCGACATGAGCAGAGATTAAAAGCATTTGTCAGATAAAAGGTTTTCTCATGGACAAAGAGTTTTCTGTTTTAAACCACCTATTCTTCCAAAACACCAAACCTCTGATTAGTTTCACAAGTTATATATTACTAAGTTTAAAATATGCAAAACTAGAGATATATAGATTAGACCTTGCCAGTGCAGATTTCCTGCTTTTTTCAGTATTTAACCTGTAGATGATCAATCAGAGCTGATCACAGTTAACTGTGTGGTGCTAATGGCCAAATCTTTGCCCGATATGTTTATATAAGCATATATTTTATAATTATACAGGATGAGCTTATCGCTGCAGGGATTTTATTTACTTCCTAATTTATTTTTTTTGGTAGCAGATCACTTTTAATTACCTGAAACTCACTACAGTTGTGCTCCTTAAAGATACCAAAAATATAATATATTGTAATGTGCTTTCTAGTTAGTTTTACCACTCTGCTGCTAATGCACCAAATGGAGGGCAGATTTTACCGAGCAGAATAAAACAGATATCGGACTGATCTTCGATATGAATATCGGATCGGGAGATCTCTTTTCATCCAATGTATATTGCTGACACTTTTGTAGGTGTTTTATGCTTGTTCCGGGGAAGTGGTGGCCAAGTGGTTTGGGCATAGAGCCTGGAATCCTGAGGTTGTGAGTTTGAAACCCACTATTACAGACTGCCACTCTGGGTCCCTGAGCAAAGACCCTTAACCCCACACTGCTCCCCGGGCGCCTGGCAGCCCACTGCTCCCAAAGGGGATTGGTTTAAATAGAGAAATGAATTTCGTTGCGCTGTACTTGTGACAGTGTAATGAAAACAAAACACTGAAAAAATAATAGTAATCATTTAGATGTTTACCTGTGAATTGTCTTCATCAAAAAGTGTTTCTAAACAGTATTACCGACTGTAGTATAAATAGAAAAATAATGTGCAACATAACATTTGACCTTTCATCATTTATGTTTATTCCTTTAAGTCTTACCTTATTTCAAATGAACAAGAAACATGCAGTGACTTTAAGTAAAGTACAGACTTGGATGAGTCAATTTATTAAAGTTAGCAAAATAAAGCAAGAGTGAGGGATGTTCTTCTTACTATGTTCTTGTTTGCTGTGTTTTTCTTTTTAAGCAGACAAACCGGCAAAGCTTTTATATATCAAATCTACAAGATTTTTATCCCTTTGCTAGTTTCATTGAGAAACTTTGCTAGTTTCATTGAGATAATGTCTGATTAATTCATTATTGAGCAAGAGAATATCTATGATCAGTGAAATTTTGATATGATAAATATGATAAAATTCTAAATTTTGACCCAAAGTACTTTCTACATTCTTTTCACCTCTGCGGCAAGATGTGTGGACACCATTGCACTAAGAAGAAGAAGTGATTGTTCCTGCTGCTGCACAAATAACAGCATATATTAGCATAACTAGGTAAAATATAAATTTAGCACTTTGAAGTCAGCAGTCTTTTAAAATTTTACTCTATGGAGCAACACAGTAACTAGACGTCTGTGTTTTCATTGGTTGACAATATGGTTGGCTAATCAACATACAAACTTACTGTATCACCTGGAGAATTGAAGAGAGAATTGAATTTATCTTTATTGCGTAGTGCAGGAGTGGGTTCAGGGATGATTTTTAACTACAATGGCTTTTCTAGCTTATCATAGTTTTCACACTTTTCTACTTATGGTTTCTCATACTCTCCATTGTTTAGTTATGTCCACCACGGGTACTGTTAAACTATAACAGTGGTGAAAACAATGTTCTATAAAATCAATGTTAAAACATCTCATTTCATGGCAGAAGAAGGGTTATTTTCATCATTTTATTTAGTTTGCAGTACTTAGATGTTTTTGTTGATATAATTATTACAGTATTTTTTAAATACTTTGTTTGATTTTTACCTCCAACTTCATGGCTTAGAACCTCATCTTTCTCTAGACTGCCAGTAGAAAATGTGTTCTGTTCATTTTCACATGCGCACAACCTAATCGCTTTGCAAATTTTAACATTTGTGCGGCAATATTTGTAGATCACCTGCAACACGGCCAATTATTTCCCATAATAAAAAGGAATTGCACGCACAATTTTAGCGTCCCTTACTTTAAATATTTGAAGATCGGACCCTTGATGTAAATAGCTGCTAAAATGAATGCAGAAGTCTGGGACGGTTGTGTTACCACGACTTTCAGACTTGGAATTCCGACTTTCAGAGCCATTTTTGTTGGAATATTATGGCTTTAAAGACGATTAAAATGCACCATGATATATAACTTTAGCTGTTTCAGAACCAGCTGGTATCAGGTTTTGATATCAGCATCTCCTACCAGTATTACTTGACCGCAGTCTCACCCACTATCTACACCAGGGGTCACCAACTTTGTACTCGCTTGGGTCATAAAGGGGCCCTGAAGGACCACATGGGGTGCCCTCAGCATCTTCTTAAAACAGAGCAACTCACCAGCAGACAATGTTGGAATTTCTATTCTAAGCTGCTGCTCTTATTTTTTTGTCATTTGTAGAGCATTTCATCATATCAATCATTTAGAAAATGTAAGCATTGATAGGACTTTATAAAAGACAAGACGAAAAAGCAAATTAGAAATTTAAAGAAACAATAGAAATATGTTTATCAATGCAGTTTAGTTGAATGCTGACTCCTCCAGGTTATAGGTCAGTATTGGTAGCCCGTCCTATGACTCAGTACCTATTAAGTAGCCCTGAGTCTTTAAAAAAACAACAAACGCACAAAATCTCAATAAAATGTGTTTAGAACAACAACAAAAAGCACCCCTTAATATATTTTCAATATAATGTGTGGTTGTAAAATGTGTTGCACCCAATGCTACAAAGATATGTGCTAATTTGTAAAACAAGCTTAACATTTTTTAAGTTGTCTAAGAGCCTGAATCTGTAAATAAAACAGTTTTAAATCAGTTAATAACATCTAGAGCTTACATGTGTGAGAATCTGAAATTGGTTTTAGTTGAGCTATTCACACTATCATGACTTGAGTTGCTTTGTTTGTGTCTTTTAGCTTGTGAAACAATGCCAGGCCATGCTGGAGGCAGGTAGAGTCTACTGTCAGACCAGTAAGAGCTTCGTCAATGGTTTACGGGAGCTCGGACACCAGTGGTCAAAGGACAGCACCATCGAGGTGACAAAAGACAAGCTGACTTAAGCTTAATCAGTTAGTTATTCTCTCATGTAAATGATATACAATGCAACATGTTTTGCTTTAAATTTACTGAAATGTACGTTTTTATTGATTGCAAATGTTTATTGGTAGAATACTGCAGCACTTTTTAGGTATAGAGCCATAGAAAGTCAGTTTGGTAAAAAGACATTTGAATATTTAAAGTTAATATTTGCAAAAAACAACAACAATGAAACTAATTTGAGGTGTCTGTCTTCAGGACTGCTTGGACAAATTTTCCAAAAAGCTGTCTGCCATCTTGGATGCACAGGGGGTGAGTCTGGAAGCCAGTCTGTCAGTTTCTGCTTGCATAACTTCTTCATTCCAGTCATGGTGGTTATCAGCTGTAGTATGTGGTCAAGCAAGCAGACATGCATCTCACTGTCAAAAATATCTCATTAGACCTTTAACTGTGCGCTGTACTAACTAAGCTGGATTCTGTTTCTTTTTTTTGTCTCAATTTCTTTTTAGGAAGTGATTGAGACGATTCAGAAGTCAGTGAAGACGAAGCTGCAGACCTTCGTGAAGGAGTGAGTGAGCTGCTTTTACGCCACCTACCTTGGGGCTGAAATGTTGGACTTAATTTCCAACAACAATTCTGTCGCAACAACAACAACAACAACAGTGCAATCTTTGCAATTAGCCAACATGTGAACCCTGAGACTTATTCTTGCTCTCTGCTTCTATCAGCGGAAGATAAAATGGTGCAATACATTATGTGATAAATTAGTTTAGATTGTTAGCTTATTGATTTCTTTATATAGATTATTGAGAATATTGACACAAATTAATTAAAAACATTATTATTTACTTAAAAGCCATATTTATTTTGTATTATACAACACCACATATGACAAAAGTAGATTTAGCTAATATCAGTTTATTATAACAGAAAATTAAATCTATGAAGCTGACGGGTATTTATTGGTGTTTTAATTCAAAATTTAGAAGAAATAGTAACAACATCAGCATTTTCTTGTTTGAAATAAAACAAGATTGCTCAGACTGAAACACATAAATATGCTGTGATGTAAGCAATCTGGATGCATGGTTAGAGTTGAAAGGTGAACCTCCACCTACGTCTCCAGTCTTGTGCGGGTTTCCTCCCTGCATTGTCCTGTTTAACTCCCTTGCACTCTGATATGCAGTGGTAGTTTTCCACAGCACTCAACATTTTGCACGTAACCAAAAATAAAATTTTTCCTTCCAACCGAGAATAATGCAACACTTCATGGTGGTCTTTCTAAATAAAATTCCAACGAAATATATAAAGGTTTGTATATTTTACATTATTCTTACAGCATTATGAATAATTGTCCATTCTGTCTGTTTTTTAGTTCAAAATGTTTTTGTAAATACAGCAAAATACCTGATATTTTCCCTGAAATGCTGTTAGAATCCTTGATCAGTTCATAATTATCTTCGTTGTTAAGATAGAACTTAGAGGAACTACAGAAAACGAATTCCAGCTTAATGGTTGTTTTCTCTCACACAGAGATGTTCGTAGGTTTAAGGATGTCCGAAAAGAGTTTGAACGCTGCAGCGAGACTCTGGAGGGGGCGTTGGCCAGAAACGCACAAGCTCCACGAGGGAAGCAGCATGAAGTGGAGGAAGCAACTAACGCTCTGCTCGGCGCACGCAAGGCCTTCCGGTCAGGGGCTTTAGACTATGTGCTGGAGGTGAGGAAGGCCATGCAGAAAAAAATCAAATAAGCGCCACTTAAGTCTTTTAATATTTTAATACATGCTAATTTTATTCCTTATTTTTAGATTTTAAAGGTAGCCTGAATGAAATAAGCAGCAGCACATTTGATTGTAGTTTTGACTGCTAACTGTGTTTATATTTCCTGCAGGTTGTGGCTCACAGTTAGACAGTGAGCTACCTATGCTGATGCAAATATGTGTAACCACAGCGTCCTTTTGTTTCAGATTAACGTCATTGAAGCCAAAAAGAAGTCAGATATTTTGTCGGCCGTGAGTTCATAGCATCTCTTTTGCTTTTGCTTTTTTTAATGTATATTTGTACATTTTTGTTTTTTATTTGAAACATCTAATTGTAAAAAATGTTTAATGCCTTTAGATGCTGGCCCTCATGGACGTCCAGTCTCAGTTCTTTAAACAAGGCCATCAATCTCTGTCAGAGCTGGATCAGTATTGCCAAAAACTGAGTGAAGAGGTAAACATTGAAACCTTATAATTACTGTAATATGTTTGCTTTGATTCGAGTTCTCAATCTGAATCAGAAAAAGTGAAATTTTAGGGTTTTTTATGTACAGTTGATTAAAATTAGATTTAAAAAGCCTCATGAGCATTTATCCAGGAAAATAAATTAAGTAGAATACAGAATAAAATGAGATGTATATGAAATGGGTTGTTTATTGGTGTATAGAAATAAACTGGGGTAAAAGGCAAGGCAAGGCAAATATATTTGTATAGCACAATTCAGTACAAAGACAATGCAAAGAGGTTTACATGATTAAAATATAGGAAAATAAAACAGAATCAAAGCAAGTAGGAAAAAAAAATGCAGAAACAAAAAAGAATATTAAAAACAGTTGGACTAAAGAAATTAAAAAATAAAGTTGAACTAATGATGTTTCAGTTGAACTGTTTAACTAGAATAGTCGAAGGCAATCCTAAGCAAATGTGTTTTTAGTCTTGATTTAAAGGAACTCAGGCTTTCCGCACTTTTACAGTTTTCTGGAAGTTTGTTCCAGATAAGTGGAGCATAGGAACTAAATGCTGCTTCTCCATGTTTAGTTCTGGTTCTAGGTATGCAGAGCAGGCTGGAGCCAGAAGACCTGAGTGGTCTGGAGGGTTGATACATTGATAGCAAGTATGTGATGTAAAAGGGGAATTTAAAAGGGGAATGGGGGAAAATAATAAATAGTATGACACACCAAAATAATAAACCACAAAAGAGACATTTCTTTGACAATGCTGCCTGATCAAAAGGTCTGGATGTTGTTGATGCTCCCTCAAAGGTTTGAACATGTTATTATTTCTTAGGTGAAACAGCTAATTAAAAAAAAGGAAATCATAGACATTATAAACCCCATGGAGGCTGGAAAGTTGGGGATTTATCAAATGACCCAGTAGATTCCCCAGCTCTGGATATGGCATGAAACCCTGTTTCTGTATGAAAAACAACCTGGTAGCCTTGGTGAGAGAGAGACCACAACGCTGACTGGGTAAACCCAACAGGGGTGGGGTCAGAGTCACAAGATGACATCACACTTTGATCATGACAGGAAAAAGTGAGCAACAACAGGAAATATTTCACATGTCTGTGAGACTCTATCTCTCTCTGTCAGTGTGCTCCAGCTTTAATTTTTCTAGGGAAACTGGAAGCAGCATTTCTCCTCCGTCAACATTGATAATGTCTTTTAATGAGATACATTTATACCAAGTAACAAAGTATGAACTTAGCTGAATTAGACGGCAGAAATGTCCTTCCTGTTCCAACAGTTATCTCTAAAATCCAGGCCACGTGTTTATTTAGCTTTTTTTTTTTTATTAGACTTCAAATAAGTTTACTATTTTCCACTTCCTGTTTTCAAAGAAGCCTAAAGGAGGGGCATCTCACCTCTTAGTATCATGTGTCTCTGTTTGTCTAAGAGCCAAGCACATCTGAAATGAAAATAAAAGGACGTTAGGATTTATGCCTTGTTTCAATGCTTGCCTGTGTATGTGGTTTAACCAGTTCCTTATTGACTGGTTTGGTCTTGCTTGTGCTTTCACTGTTACACATCTATTCATGATTTGAACTTAAATTATTAACCTCTTCCTTTGATTTTGTTTTGGTTTATGTTTTCCAGTAAACTCTTTTGAAGAACTTTTTTTTTTTACTTTTTCTTATCCTGATATCCTTCAATAAATAACAATAGCCAGTCCACCTGTGTGGGATTTGCTCTCTAAACTGCAGTAATTTGTTAAAACGGTGACTATTGGCTGTTCAATCAAGAGTCAGACATTTATAAAAGATGGCAGGGGGTAATTTAATTTAGAGTCCAGAGTACAGTTTCAGGACAGAGTGACATGTTTAAATCGATCATTTAAAAATGATTTATTGGAAAGCATATCCCTGCATTCGAATGGTTTAGTCAAGTCAAGACATTAACCTTTCTATAATGGCAAAACTTAAAGACTAATGTTCAAAGATGCTTTTCATCTGACTGCAGTGGAGCTATTTGGAAAAGAAGTATAAAGTTTTTTGTCTCTTGATGTGCTGAGCTGGTAGAGACATTCACCGCCTCTATTCTGCTTCGTAAAGTGCTTCTACAGAGTTTAAAAGCAGCTCTAAGAAGTGGTAATTTAATAAAGATCAATGCATTCTCTGTTCTGAGAATGTGCTACTATTTGTTAACCTATCTCACAGTATCCCAGTAGAATACGCTGAATTTTGTGGTTGAAATGGGACTGAATGGAAAAAATGTGAATACCTTGTGAGCACTTGCATAATGAATTATCTTTAACAATTGTGTTTTTTTCTTTGTTTACAGCAAACTCAGTTTGTATTGAACTCTGCCAGGGATAAGAGGGATATGGAGCAAAGGCACTCAGCTATTAAGAAAAAGGTTAAAAAAAACAAACAAACAAAACACAATTAATAATAAATGGTTAATGGCCTGCACTTATATCGTGCTTTTTCAAGTCAGAGGACTTGACCAAAGTGCTTTAGACTACATTAAGTCATTCACCTATTCTTACACTGATGGTGGCAAACTACATTGTAGCCACAACTGCTCTGGGGCTCGCTGACAGAAGTGATGCTGCCGTACACTGGCACCACCAGACCCTCTGACCACCATCAGTAGGCAATGCAGGTTAGGTGTCTTGCCTAAGGACACAATGACACTCGGAGCTGGGGCTTGAACCGACAACCCTCTGGTAGCAGGGCAAACTTCTGAACCCAATGCCACTGTTGCCCTTAGAACTAGAACAGAACTATACAGTAGCGTTGGATGTTGGAGCCTTGATGTTTTGGTTGTCGTTTCAAGCCCTCTGACTCGGGCAATACCCTTCACCTACATTGCGCTAGTTTACGGCAGCCTCTCTTCTGTCAGTGAGTCCCAAAGCAGCTGTGGCTACAATTGAGCTTGGCACCATCAGTGTGTGAATATGTGAATGACTGAATGTAGTGTAAAGCGCTTTGGTCAAGTCTCCTGACTTGAAAAAGTGCTATATAATTACAGGCCATTTACCATTGATATGAGGCATAACCCTCTTGACAGTCTACTTAAATCTGTCTTGAGTCGGATAGAAGATGCTGCAGGACATTCATCTGTTACCTTCTTTAACTTTTAAGGACATGTCATACGATGACCCCATTTTGGATTTTAATGCTGATGCTGCCAATGGGATAGCGATGGAGGGTTACCTTTATAAACGGGCTAGCAACGCCTTCAAGACCTGGAGCAGGTAGAACTTTCCCCATCAAATCATTCACACAGAACAGCTGCTTTTATATCGATCTGCATTTTTGCAGTTTATTTTAATGATTTCCTAATTTTTATTTTTTTTTTATCCATCTCAGACGTTGGTTTTCAATTCAGAAGAATCAGTTGGTTTATCAGAAGAAATTTAAGGTACATTTTTATGTGATTTAAAGGCAGACATGTTGGTGCTCTCCTGTTGCATGCACAGTTGTCATGGTGTGTTCTTCTAATCTGCAACTCGCTCAGGACCAGCCCACGGTTGTGGTGGAGGACCTGCGTCTCTGCACAGTCAAGCCCAGCACTGAAAATGAGAGGCGATTCTGCTTTGAAGTAGTGTCTCCGTCAAAGTGAGTTTGCGTGGGAGCCGTGTGTTAGAGCCACTGTGATTCTCACCAAGTGTGTGGGTTAACATAGCCCTCATTTAGAAGACTGGAAGAAATATTTTTTGAGAATATTTCAGGGGCAGATGAAAATGGTGCGTTTGCATATTTGTGTTTTCTGCGCACAGATGCTGTTTGTTACAAGCAGACTCGGAGAAGGAGCAGCAAGCGTGGATCAGTGCTGTCCAAAACAGCATCGCCTCTGCCTTTCAGGAGCATAGAGAGGATGCACACAGCCCAGTGAGCCCTATTAGATCTGTATTTTTAGTTGGACCTTTTCTGTTGCAAGGCAACCACTTTCTTAAATGCTTTATATATGTGTTTTTATCAGAGACAGCGCTGCAGCTCAGTCTCCATGAGCAATTTAGGTGGAGGAGGAGGAGGAAGTGGGGATCAGGAGAGCGAAGGCCTTAAGGCTCTAGAGGAGATTCAGGCCATCCCAGGAAACAAGCAGTGCTGCGACTGCGGAGAGGCTAGTCCTACTTGGGCCTCCATCAACCTGGGAATCACTCTGTGTATTACCTGCTCAGGAATACATAGGTAGGAAAAAAATATTTAAAGATCCAATATCATGCTTGTTTTTAGCCTTGTAAAGTCAATTATATGGATATACAGCTGAAAAACACATTTTCATGTCATAGAAGTTAGCTAAAAAAAGACCAGTCACTGTCACAGTACAGATGAAATGCTAAAAAAGACACGCCGCCTCCATTATGCCTCACATCAGCATTCGATGATCATGGAAAGTGGGTGTTTGTTTAAAGTGCAGGTGCAGCACAGTCAAAGTAGGTGCTTTCTGGACGGGCGGGAAATGACAGCTCTATGTAGACTTGCCTTGGCTGCTAGTTTTTCCAAGACAAGAAGGGGCTTTGAGAGATGAATTCATGAAGCTCACTCATACATGCATGAATCCAGTAAAATACGGCTTTCAGCAAAGCATAACTTTAATAAAAGATTAGCATTATAACATAGGTAAACTAAAACACCATTATTAGCATGATATAATCGCTTTATTATCAGCCCCTAACCATCACAATGAATTACAACTGTATGCTTATATCTTACTCTACACATTTCTTGAAGTTGCCTTTCTCTATAACTGTCAAACACTCCCATATTACTCTCTAATTAAAGCACAATAATCATAGAAGGTTAAGCTAAACACTGTATTGCACCAGATTTAGAGCGAAAGTCGTCTTTTATTTCAAGAAACATGTTTCTTCTGACATGATATTAATGTTTGGAATGGCTCAGCCAGACTCCAGAATTTGAAAAAAATAATGTAAATAGAACTTATGCCTGTGACTTGGGAAGTTGAGCAATTATAATATCCATCCATCTTCTTACACGCTTAATCCCAAGTGAGGTCACGAGGGGTGCCGGTGCCTTTATCCAGCTGTCAACGGGCGAGAGGCGGGGTACACCCTGGACAGGTTGCCAGTCCATCACAGAGACAAACAGGGCAAACAACCACCCATGCACACACTCACACCTAAGGAGAATTTAGAGAAGCCAATTAACCTGACACTCATGATTTTGGACTGTGGGAGGAAACCGGAGTACCCGGAGAGAACCCACGCATGCTCAGGGAGAACATGCAAACTCCATGCAGGCCGGAATCAAACCCAGAACCTTTTTGCTACAAGGCAGCAGTGCTACCCACTGCCTCACTGAGTAGCCCATGCAATTATAATATTTAATATAGATATATTATACTTATTGTATGTGTCCACATGGAGATAAAAATGGTTAAGAATAGATCTTCATTAACTCCCCACCCTGAAAAGTGGTGGCCTAGTGGTTAGCGCTTTGTGCTTGGAATCCAGAGGTTCTGAATCCCACAGATTGCTATTCTGGCTCCCTGAGCAAGACCCTTAACCCCACACTGCTCCTCGAGTGCCGCACAATGGCAGCCCACTGCTCCCAAGGGGATGGGTTAGAATGCAGAGAGTTCATTTTGTTGCTTTGTACTTGCGGCAGTGTAATGACAGTACAGTTGAAATCTATTCTTCTATTTTATTCTACCTAAACAAAAACAGAAGATGCTGTAGTATGCATGCCAAAGCAACACACCAAAACAGTCAATAAAGACATGAAAGAGACAAATCATTCAGACACATATGTGGCTTCCAGAAAGGGAGGGAGCTTCCATCTCATCATGCTAGAATAGTTTGCATGGAAAAACAAAACAAACTTTTTAAAAAGGTTTCTCTTTGGAACTCAGTTTCAGAAATTGGATCCCAAAACACAGGGTCTGTGTGGACGCAACCCCTAAGCAGTAAAAACTACCTTTGTGGAAAATTACTTAAGCTCATCTCTGTGTTGGCGGGTCCAAATTGTACCCTGGTGGCCAGTAAGATCCCTAGGAAAGCACAGACCCAGCTAACATGGCAAAAGCCAGATTGATACCATGTAGAGTTGAAATTGAACTACATGGGTTCATCTGGGAACGCAAACTGTAAAAGGGAAGGACATTCAGTACAATTCTTTTTTGGCCAATCACAGCAGCAGCATCAACTTTGTTTTTATAATTAGTGGAGTTAACTGAGAAATCAAACTCTTAACAAATCCAGTGAAAGAGAACACACAGCCATCTTCCCATCCAAAAAGACAAAAATTGCCTCATTTTGCGTGTTTTAAACAGCCGTGTCTGTTTTGCTTCAGCCCTCTGCCTCTGGTTAATGAGTAAATGTCATACACTGCAATTTATTGGTTGATACATTTCTGTATCGGGGCAAATCATATCTGCTGAGCCCAGATTCATTTTCAGGAAGTTTGTGAATTCAACAATCTCTCTCTGTTCTGAAACTTTTCCTTTCCTAACAGGAGCCTGGGTGTACATTTCTCCAAGGTTCGCTCCCTCACTCTTGACTCCTGGGAACCGGAACTCATTAAGGTAATTTAACCTGATAGCAGGAGCACCTTCCTGGGTTTTCTACATTCCTGTTAGAAAAATAATATTATATCAGTTTAAAGCAATTTCACTTTGTTGTTTCTCTTTCTTCTTTCAGTTGATGTGCGAATTGGGAAACTCGGTGATCAACCGGATCTATGAGGCTCGGATTGATGAGATCACCATCAAGAAGCCCCACCCTGCCAGCGCCAGGTAAGCCTGAGGGGTCCAGTGTCAACACGTGAACTTTAACTGGGAATTTAACAGATTCCAACAAAAACATTGATTCTTTAGGTGTTATCTTATCATTGTATTCCCCCCTTTCATTGTTTTCCTTTGGATACTGGAAGATCTTTCAAAACATTTCAGTTCAGCACAAAAGTATGTGATGTTTTTTTTAGAGGAATGGGAGTTTGTATGTTTGGCCCCTAACACTGAAAAATTTCAATTGGTTTGAGTCATCTTTACTTGCTACGACCTTGATGCAAAGAAAATGTTCTAAAAACAACAAATATAATTTAATGGATAATGCTTATATCTGTAATAAATATAATGCTAGCCACTGATTCTTTGAGTTGGCGTTGAGTTCTCTACTGCGGTTCCAGTAACAGCTTACAACGGTATATTTAGTAGCCAGAAAAGATTATAAAATTGAGCTATTGCCCTGTTGGCAACCATTTATAGAGCCCTGCTTTAATTCCCTTAGCTCCAATGTGCAATCTATCCATCCGTTTTCTGTCAGACTTTATCCCTGCTGTGATCATGAGGGGTGCAGGTGCCTATCTCCAGCTGTGTACTGGTGAGAGTCGGGGTACACCCTGGACAGGTCGCCAGTCTATCACAGAGACAAATGGGACAAACAACCATGCACACTCACATTTAGCCAGTGAACCTAACAGTCATGTTTTTGGACTGTGGGAGGAAGCCGGATTACCTGGAGAGAACCCATGCATGCATGCACAGGGAGAACATGCAAACTCCATGCAGAAAGACCCCCGCCCGGGACTCAAACCCGGAACCTTCTTGCCACATTCTAACAGAAATGTTTGCAGAACCAGTTTGCATACCAAGTTACTGGGTTTTATATCTAAGACCATATAAGTTGTTTAAGTACCATATCTCAGCTAAGTTATTTGGAGGGTGGCTCAGTGCTTTAGCAATGTCATAGCCCTTACCATTTTATTGATTTTGAGCCATTACCAGGGATTTTGAAAGTGCTCAACAATTTCAACAAACTCATTTCAGTTTCCATGGTTTCCAAACATTCCTTGATAAAAAGTTGTGGTCTGGATGGAAGACTTCCAGATTAACCTGGGAGTGTTGAACTGATAGACCCTTCCCTGCTGCATTGCAATTCCTGTAACTCGCCAAATTTAAAATCTGACTGTTGTTGTTTTCTTTTTTATACAAGATTCAGATTTTGTTATACTTTTAAGCATTTTTCTGATCCAAAATGGGCAAAATAAAGACGACTTATGATCGGTGGATGGATAAGGTCTAAGCTCTTTCAGAAAGGATGTCTTGCCTTTAGTTTGTTTAAAACTGCACCAAATGTTAGTTGACTGATTCAAATGAAAGTTCTGCAGCCTAATAGAGCAGTGAAAAAGGAAAGCAAACAAAGTAACTGTCACTCTTTTTACCTGATGAAAAAATACACAGGTATTTACGTAAGTCCTAGGACTTTCAGTAGAAAAAGAGCTATTGTCTGCAAAAAAAGGAATCCAACTTTTACTCAGTGCTGTATGCGCGTATGTGACTGGGTCTTATTTAAAAGAAGCAATACAACTCCTTTAGGTATTTAGATCACTCTTTAAAATATCCAGTATTTTGATGTACTGAGTGAGGTTATCCGGAAATAAACCTTATTGTATTGCACTGTAAATTATTAATTGATAAGGCATATTTTTTCTGCACCTTGTTGAGCTTCTAGTTTCATTATTTAAATTTTTGTAGAAGCAAGTTAAATATTAATTAGGCCTCCAAAGATGCCAGTAGTAGGGAGGATCTACAGGTGTGGCAAGGCACTGCTGAATATTTTTATTATTTGACTACTGCATTAAAAAATTGGATGTATAGTATTGCTAAAACAATCATGCAACTATTATTTCCTGTTCTTTCTTTTTTTTGGCATTATTTTTTTTCCCTCCTAATCTAACTAATTTCTATCTGCTGCGATATTTCAGGCCTTTTTTTGGTGAAGTTTTACTTTATCCTGCTGTTTAAGAAGGTCATTCATTGAAACAATCAGCTGCACAGATGATGTGTTTTAAATAGGAATGCTCTTTTAAACATCTTAGTGGTTTAGTAATGTGTTATCAGCTGAGAGCAACTAATTCTAAACTTTCTTCAACTTCCTCGTCCCTTTGCCGCTTCGCATTGCAGAACACAGGAAGTCACAGGTATTTCATACAGATAGTTGAGGTTGTTTTGTCCGGAAACGTGTTTTAACACTGCAGGGTTTTTTTTAAACACACAGACTGAGAGGTTAAGGCTATATTGGTAAGATAAAGGTGATCCTTAATTAACAAAGAGACATTTCAGTCCGCAGTCCTCAATCAGACCTGAACAAATCTCATTCTTCTCTCCCCCCCAGAGGTGACAAGGAGTCATGGATTAGGTCCAAGTACGTTGAGAAGAAGTTTATCCAGAAGTTGCCTGAGACTGGCAGAACCAACCTGCTGAGACGGTCCAGCGCCAGGAGAACCCGAGCCACAACTCAGGAACGCAACGTTCAGAGGCCAGCTCTCAAACCCAAGCCGAACAGAGCCACGCTGCCTCGACTCACAAGTAAATTAACGCTCCTGATGGTTATTATGCATGCATGTGTAGGTCACCAATCACCTGTAACTTTTCCATGTTTTTATTAATTTACATGCAAAATATACAAATAAAGATTCCTAAAGTAGGCTAATGCATGGTAGGTAAGAAGGTATGTAAAACTTTATTTATATAGGACGCTCAATTGGGTCTGGCAGTATAAACCAAAAGGATATCTTTATATTTTTAAGCTAAATAGTGATAAACAATTTTTATGAAGTCAGAATTTTGGTAAAGACTAATATGAGCGGTTTAGTTTAAAAAATTTCATTTATTTATCGCACCGCAGGAGCAGCAGCTTCCAGTGAAGCGCTCACAGACTTAAGTTAAAACTTCTCCTTTCTGTTGCTGTTGTTCTATAAAAGATCCTTTTAAGATCATTTGAGGTGAGAAGGCATACTTTTAAGCGTCACTATATGGCCCATTTACTGATTAACTACGTAATAAAAAATATTCCACTGTTAAGAGGACTGTTGCAACTAGCAGACCTCCCAGTCTAACCGCAGCCTGGGCTAATTTTAGCCCGTCTGCAGCCACCCTTTCTCTACATAGCCGTGTGTGAAGGCGATTATTTTATCTACCGGTATATGGCAAAATATTTATTTAATCTTTGTTTATCTGACTTTGTTTATTATTATTCCCCCACTAAATGAAAAAAGTAAGAAGTTTTTATTATCTAGAGCGGAGGTCTTCAACAGTTGGTCCAAGACCCCTAGGGGGTCCACAGAGGTAATGCATAAGGGTCGCGAAAGTTTTGGTTGATTAGACTTTTTTTTTTTTCTTTTTTTTTTTTATATTCCCCCTGCAATTTTTTCCACAAATTAAAATGTCTTTAAATCCACATTAACATTAATTCAACCCACTGTAGTAAACAGATAAATGGAGGCAGAAGATGTCTTTCAGTCATCAATGCACACATTCAGCGACACACAGGAGCTCTATCAAGCTGGGCACCGTTTCATTCACAACACCTGTCCCATCAACCAGGAATCACAATCAAAAATACTTTAATAATCCCAGGGAGAAATTTGTTTTCTTACATGACTTCATCTGTAATATTGGACCAGATTGATATATCACAATTTCATTTAATATATATAAATAGGGGTCTCGCTCCATCTCGCCATCAGTTCTAGAGACTATTATTAACAGGAACAGGTGAAATGCAGCTCCAAACGAGCCAGGCGTATGGCAACGTCACGAGTACGCTTCCATATTTCTGCTGCGTGCTCCTGTTTTTCCCAAGTCCAGACTTTCTGGTGTTCTTGTCATGAGCATACCTGGCGAAGACACGAGTCCGTACTCACGTTCTTATGAATTCAGAAACTGCGTCTCTTTCCTCATACAGTGAAGCTAAGGTTAGCTTAGCTCATACAAAGTTGTAAATTTAAAATTGCTCAGTTTTAGAGCTTACTGCTGTCAGAACACATTTAGGACTGTCTTAAAATAATTTGTATAATTATGCCTTCAATTAAACAATTTTTAACTCTGTAAGAACACATCTATGAGTATAAAGATGCTTTGATAACATTACTAGATACAGCTAGAATGAAAAGGGTGTCACTATCTGATTGATACTGGTAGCACGATCCATACCATCAGAGTCTGGGTCACAATTTATTGTGCTTCATAAGAAAAAGACCAAAATCACGTTTTACTTTCCCTAATTGCGGTAATTGGCTTGTACTTAAATAGAACTTTTTCAAGTCGGGAGACTTGACCAAAGTGCTATAAACTACATTCAGTCATACAAGCACAATCTGATGGTTACAAGCCACATTGTAGCCACCGCTGCCCTGGGGCTCACTAACAAAATAATTATATAAAACCTTAATAAACTATAATCTGTAAAATACTTCTTTTTTTTCTGAGAGAATAAATGCATTTTATATCCTTTCTGTTATATCACTGATCTGTGTCTGATCTGTCCCAGAAATAGGATCCTTTGCTACTTTCAGCAGCTAATCATTTTGGCTTTGGATTTGTAAATACATGTCGTAATGGGCTCTATATGCAACACTACCTCCTGAAGTTAAGCTCTTTTGTTCCATGTCTTTTTCTACTGAATGAACTGATTAATCCAGGTGTGCCTGACCTCAGTAACCACAGCCAGACACACCTGGATTAAACAGTTCATCAAGTAATGAAAGGCAGGAAACAGAGGAGCTGCCTTAAGTTCAGGAAGTAGTGGAGTTGTGCATAGAGCCCATTTGGAGTTTTTGTATCTGCCTTTCATTGTTTATAGTGTATGATCTGAAAAATACACAGCTAAAATGTGTATACAAAGTAATATTATTTTGCCAGACTGCTCTGAGCATATGAGATGATGACGTCAGACAAGCAACACATTTTTATAAGATGTATTTTAGTATTCATTGATGATTGAAGGATGAAAATGATGGCTTTCAGTAACATAATTACAATATTCATGGCAACATGGATTGGAATATCTGCTTGCTCATGCGCAAATGGTACGGATGGTGCCTCCGGTGTAGGTACCGAATCTGCTCAGGTGGTCAGATCTGCTCGGGTCGGGGTGTGCTTTGGTGGCGTAGTGGTTTGATTTTCTTGAATTTCTGTAAAGACCCGCCCACTCCAACTTAAAAAAAAAAATGTACATGCACAACCCTGTACCTGCTCCTACTCCTACAAACATGTACAAATAGCGCGCACGAACCCATTTCTCCTCGTGCACGCTCTGTTTAAAAGTTGCTGTTTGCATCACTCATACAAGCTTAGTTTCCAAAAAAAATATTAGTAATATTTCCACTATGTCAGACTCACCACTGATTAGTGAAAATGGGGACGAGCACGTAGGACGGACTCAGGTAAACATATCACCAGAATGATTGGCAATTAGGAGGACCACTTATTTTGATGATCCTCCCTGAAAAAAGAACATCCTACACTATACCTTTAATGTAAATTTAGACCTGGCAAAAAAAATGTATTAAAAATCTATAAATAAAAACATGTATGGAAAATATGGAAAACCTTATCATTCATTAAAAAAATGGAATCGGTATTGCACGTCATTTTTTTGTGTTGTTCCAATGTATCTTCCAATTACTTTGAAGTATGTGGTACCAGAGGGCGTGAATACTTTTCCTAGATGCTGCACCTTTTGTAATTAGCTTAGGCGGTTAATGACATAGTTACAACATTGATCTGTGCACCTGCTGATTCAGTACTTTTCCCAATGGGGCAGAGTAATTTTCCAAAAATCAATATTTGTTTAGTGTTTTTTTCTTCATCCAACATTATGATTTTACTTTGATTTTTCCATAACCGCGAGCATGTAGATGTTTCACTTCAGGGTTTCATTGTTTTCATAAACTTCAAAGCTTGCTTGTCCAGACTCCATGTTGCAGGACTGTACTGTGGCTTTTGGTTAAGTGCTTATCTCTAGTCATATGCATGCAGCTCCGTGGTGTTAAACCCACTTTCAGGATATTCCGGCCACCTAAAGAGCAGGAGTGAGAAAGTGGGCGTATCACTCCTGTGTTTTGTCAAATTGTGATTATTTTGCAAATTCAATTAACTGCTCAGCCCTATCTCAGTTTTATGTGTGTTGCGGCAGCAGATAGAAAAGCCCAGTTTCACTTTATCTGTTCGCCTCTCCTCAGATCTCAGCCCCAGTGACATTCAGAAGAACAACTCTCATAGAGGTAGGATCAAACACAATTCACCCAAATGTGACAACACAATTTTCTAAATGTAATAAAATGTAGATATATAAAAGTACCTCCTGCTGTCCTTAGATTGGGAAGAAGATGAAGAAGAGGATCTCAGCGGCCTTCACCCCGGGGCATTGTTGTACCGCTCTGCAGCGCTGCAGAACTTCCCCGTCATGGCTGACGCGCTCGCCCATGGGGCTGACGTCAACTGGGTAAACGCGGCCGAGGAGTCGAGCACACCTCTGATACAGGCCGTGTCGGTGGTAAGGACAACCCTCTGTTCAGTGTCAGACTTAAAAAAAATCTTTAAACTGGAAAAATTCCATAAAAAAACTGAAAAGAAATCCCATTTTAGAGCAAATATTTTATTAGAGCCTTTAAATGCACACTGTATAACCTTTGGTCACTATGGCGGCTAGACCTGTAACTGCATTAATTTGCTTCTACTAAACATAGAAAAAAATAAAAAGGATATATGACTGCATACCTGGAGCAAAGGGTTAACTTACCAATCTAATAATAAAGTTGAGAAAAGAGAAACGGTTTTACATCCGGCTTCTTCTTTCAGCCTGCGCTGAACAAACTCCTTTCCATGATCGACTCTTGTTTTACCTTGTGCACGTCACTTCTGTCAGGCTCTGTTCAAATGGGGAAAGACAAGAAAAAAAGCCATAGAAAGAAAAGTAGTTCTTTAGTGTATAGTTGCCAGCAGATAAAAAAAATATATATATATTTCCTATTTATTTTTAAATAATGAAAAATAAATATTAGATATTAGAAAAGTTTGGCTGCCTCCTCGTCTGCACCACAGGCACCTTTAGAGATAATCTCAGGGTTAGATCAACAGTCCAACAACTGATTTGGGATGTAATTCATCTAAGTCAACTAACTTAATAACTTTCTGTGAAACAGATAAAATAAAAGTAGAAGTTTCAGGTGGAGGCTGAGCATCATTCCTTCCCAGCAGCAGCATGCAATCACATGCAGGGGATCATGCAGTCTCCATCCTTTTTCAAAATGGATATCGATACCCAGGAAAATACTTGATACTCGATACCATTTTCAATACCATGGGAATTAAAAAATCCAAATAATCAAAGGCATAAATACGTTTTAACATGAAAAACAAACTTTTTTCATATTAACAGAAAGTCTTTCTCATCTTTATTACGTTCTACTAGTGAAATGTCTGTCAGAAATAAAGTATCATCATCATCTTTCCTTGTTGTTTTGAGCAGAACGCCCTGGCAGCCTGTGAGTTCCTACTGCAGAACGGCGCCAATGTCAACCTGGCAGACAGCAACAAAAGAGGACCACTGCACCACGCCACCATCCTGGGCCACACAGGGTACGACCAACACGCTCTCACACATCATTAAAAAAAGTCTAGATTATTGATGGAACCCAGTTTTCCTAAACTCTGCAGGTGCATTGTTAAAATGTAATCAGGGATGCACTGATCTGATAACTTGGCCAATAGTGATATTTGATGTTCATATCACTATTATGGCTTTAGTTGAACATCCCTGCATCACTATCATCTCATGTGTCACAAATATACATCACATTTTTACTCATAGAACTGGTACCGATGTTAAAACACGATAATGCTGTTAAACTGTCTAAATGTAGTCGTTTTAAACTGTATTCATTGTTTTCAGTTTCAAACTAGGAGGAATAAACTTTGTAAACCTTAAAGCAGGGAAACAGCTTCTATAGGGAGAGGAAGTTTGTTGAACCTGAGGTTAGTTTGAAAGCTAGAGACTGAAACCTGACTAGGAAGGCCTAATGAACTCCATAGCTGAGTTTTAAATCATTTAATGACTCTTTAAAAAGTATCTCTTTAGTGATCAGCAGCAGAGAGTATAAAACATTTGGACACCCTCTGAAAGCTTGCATCCTTTTATATCTGCACATATTTGAAACGATTTAACAAGATGTAGAATTTCAACTAGTATTAATAAAACATTTGAGGAAACAAAGAAAATACCATTTAATACTTAATATAAAGTATGATATTTAAAGTGTTTACTGTGAGGAAGAGTTCTAAAGTTACTCACGTGGCGACACCATTCACTTCAACCTAGAAAGACTCCCACAGAGAAAAGCTGCATTTAGAAAAGTTTGATTAGAATAGAATAGAAAATCCCTGTATTATTCCACAATGGGGAAATTGTGGTGTTACACCAGCAGAAAAAGGTTATAGCAGAAGTTATCACACAATTTTGACCTCAGAAACGTGTATAAAAATAACACAATAAGTGACGGCGTTAAGAAAATAAACAAATAAAATTATATTGTACTGTACAGTGGTTTACAATATAAATACTGTTTATCTGGAGGATAAATAATCAATAAAATAGCAGCAACATTATAGATGTGCTAAACTGACAGCAGCATGTTGTTTAAGTGACTAAGAGAGAAACTGCAAAAATCAGCATGAATGTAACAACTTATTGAGGTTATTGGGAACAGTGATGGTTATAAAGTATTACAGCTGCTGGGAGGAAGGATCTGTGATAACGCTCCCTGGTGCATTTAAGGTGACTTGAAATAAATGAGTTTTTTGCTGCTCGGGCCACAGCAGAAGACCTTGATGCTGTGAATCAACATTCATTTGGATAAGTAATGTAGGAAAAGGATTAGAGTAGTCCTTTCCCCCGGGGACCGGACACTGGCGGTGGAATAATGTAGGATGAATCAGCCTGAGAATAATAGGGAATGAGGGAGGAGAGGGGGTGGAGGTCCGTGAAAGTTTGCTGCCATGTTTGACGAAGGCTTGTGCAGAATGAATAATGAAGGAGATCTAGAAAGATGATTGACTTTGGAGAAGTCCTGGTGTTGATTTGCTGAAGCTTGGATGTGGGACATCAGCAAGTATTCCAGGTGAGGCAGATTGAATTTTCGCTTGTGCTTCATTAGAAGGTACACTGAAAAAAATCCAAATCTAGATGCTACATTTTTTTCTTAAAATAAGTGCATTTGTTGTTGGATTGAGGAGGTAAAAGAGACACTTTGCCAATGGAACAAGACAATTTACATTTAAAATAAGAAACACAATTGCATTGTCTTATTTCAAGTGTGTTTTATCTAATTATCTTATTTTTAGAGTAAAAATACTAATTCTATTGGTAAACTATTTCCTTTACCTATTCAAATTAAGGGTAAACACATTTAATTTAGAAAGTTTTGATGTTGTTTTTGCAGTGTACTTTAAAGGAAGTTCCCTTGTTTACACCTCAGACTTTCAGTGGGATGAGTTTTTGGCTGTGCAAATGACTGAATACCATAATCAGATAAAATCATTTCCATTTAGAAAGAACATTGCAGCATCAAAGTCTAGCAATAAATAAATTTCATCCATAATTCCACTGGTCAGAATGGACAACTAGTGGGGGATAAATGCCAGCCTGCACAGGTGGGATCATCTAAGTGAGGTCAACCTGAAAGCAGGCTGCCAGAAGCATCCAAAAAAATTCAAAGTTCAGCTTTAACCTGCAGCAGGATCTTGCTGTTGCTGATATGAAGTGTGGTCGGTTATAACTGGAAAGAAACCAAACAAGTTTATGTAGGTGGGCTGGAAGGAAACCAAGAAAAAACATGAAGGTCAGATTGAAGTTTGCCAGAAAGGACTTAGTCAAAGAACCACTGGTCTCATTTATTTCATGAGATTTATATTAAAAGAGTATGAACATTTACAGATACAGATACAGATAACAGATTTATAAAACCTCATAGTCACAAAAGCAAGCAAATTTCCTTGATAAATCACACCTGTGTGAACAAGGCTCCACCTTATGGCCGTCTACACGCCCTCGTCCAACCAGAAATGGTCCATGCAGAGCACCGCATGGATATTATTGGGTGTTTTAATCAGTAGAACAATAAAAACATAGTTTAACTGGAGTAAAAATAGATTTATTGATGAGTGAGGTAAAGAGAAGGATAAATACATTTGGTAACAACTGCAGTGAAGTGACAAAATGTTAAAAATGGCAACAAAGACTGATTGTATTTGTCAGTATTTTGCTTTGTACTGGCTGTAATATCTCATTGGTTTGGATAGACAGATTGTTTGTTTAATCATGTTTAACACAAAAATAAAAATAAAAAATCTGGATAAGCTGCCCACCAAGCTATCAATAAGATTTATTAAGAGTAAAGTAATGGTTATCTCAATTTATATTGTAGATGTTTCCTAATTGCTCTGTAGATTTGTGGATTATTTTGGATCTTTAATAAACTGCAGCCTAGATATATATAGCCTTTTCACCTATATACACTATATTGCCAAAAGTATTTGCTCACCTGCCTTGACTCACATATGAGCTTAAGTGACATCCCGTTCCTAATCCATAGGGTTCAATATGACGTCGGTCCACCCTTTGCAGCTAGAACAGCTTCAACTCTTCTGGGAAGGCTGTCCACAAGGTTTAGGAGTGTGTTTATGGGAATTTTTGACCATTCTTCCAGAAGCGCATTTGTGAGGTCGCACACTGATGTTGGACGAGAAGGCCTGGCTCTCAGTCTCCGCTCTAATTCATCCCAAAGGTGTTCTATCGGGTTGAGGTCAGGACTCTGTGCAGGCCAGTCAAGTTCATCCACACCAGACTCTGTCATCCATGTCTTGATGGACCTTGCTTTGTGCACTGGTGCACAGTCATGTTGGAAGAGGAAGGGGCCAGCTCCAAACTGTTCCCACAAAGTTGGGAGCATGGAATTGTCCAAAATGTCTTGGTATGCTGAAGCATTCAGAGTTCCTTTCACTGGAACTAAGGGGCCAAGCCCAGCTCCTGAAAAACAACCCCACACCATAATCCCCCCTTCACCAAACTTTACACTTGGCACAATGCAGTCAGACAAGTACCGTTCTCCTGGCAACCGCCAAACCCAGACCCGTCCATCAGATTGCCAGATGGAGAAGCGCGATTCGTCACTCCAGAGAACGCGTCTCCACTGCTCTAGAGTCCAGTGGCGGCGTGCTTTACACCACCGCATCCGACGCTTTGCATTGCACTTGGTGATGTATGGCTTGGATGCAGCTGCTCGACCATGGAAACCCATTCCATGAAGCTCTCTGCGCACTGTTCTTGAGCTAATCTGAAGGCCACATGAAGTTTGGAGGTCTGTAGTGATTGACTCTGCAGAAAGTTGGCGACCTCTTCGCACTATGCGCGTCAGCATCCGCTGACCCCGCTCCGTCAGTTTACGTGGCCTACCACTTCGTGGCTGAGTTGCTGTCGTTCCCAAACACTTCCATTTTCTTATAATACAGCTGACAGTTGACTGTGGAATATTTAGGAGCGAGGAAATTTCACGACTGGATTTGTTGCACAGGTGGCATCCTATCACAGTTCCACGCTGGAATTCACTGAGCTCCTGAGAGCGACCCATTCTTTCACAAATGTTTGTAAAAACAGTCTGCATGCCTAGGTGCTTGAATTTATACACCTGTGGCCATGGAAGTGATTGGAACACCTGATTCCAATAATTTGGATGGGTGAGCAAATACTTTTGGCAATATAGTGTATATCTACAATGGTTAAATGTATATCAAATATATAAATTGAATGCTGGTTATCAATATTAATTTGTGTTCTTTAGTACAATGCCCTTACCAACCTTTCTGATTTTGCACATTGAGGTAATAGAAGGGGCATTTATATATATGAGCTTAGGCCTCACTCTACTCCTTTTTGGACATGTAGAGATTACAAGGGGTAACTATTGCATAACTATTCCTCTTGTTTTAGTTTGTTTGCTGTTGTTATCTTCTTGTGTCACAGGCACACATGTTCCAAATAATGTGCATAAGAGCATAAAGTGTGCACTAACCTCCTGATGAAGAGTGTGGGTCCAGCGAGTCGCCCTCTTCAACACTGAATAGTGTTTAGATCATAGATCCAACAGCAATGCTCTATTGATTCTGATAAGACAGCTGGGTATTGTTATCATTCCGATATGATCTCAACTTGCATTGCTGGTATTAGAAACATTATTCTATTAGCTGTTACCTGATTGAAGTGTCTGTGTAGTTATGCAACATTTTATAATACCATTCAACAGCAAATTACTATAGTAATAGTTAATAGAATCAGAATTACTTTAAATAATCCCTCTTGTCTTGCACTGCAACAGTTTACAGAAGAGAGAAAAATAAGATTGTAAATACAAGAGAGAAAAAATAAAAAAATAATATAATATAATAACACAAAATAAAATAAGTAAGTAAAATAAGTAAAATTACAACCCAATAGCAGCTTCCACTGTCTTTACAGTGGAACAAGTATATTATTTAAAGATCAAACTTTGATTATATGAATTGATCTTTTGGAATTAAATAATAATAGTTAAGAAAAGGAAAATTGATTATTTTAAAACAGCCTTACTTATGATTAATGTTTTATATTAAATGATTTTGAACGTCTGAGAGGACTTAATCTAGCTTTGATTCATCATCTCACCATCAGTGTAGCCTGTTTTTTCCATTCCTCGTAAAACGTTTGCACATGTGGGTCAGAGTAAGTACTGCATGTTTCCATGCCAAGTTAGTTTGTCTACCTGATGTACAAACAGGCCATTATTTGGTCAACAGAAAAAAAGAATTGGTTCATATATAAACTGACTACAGCGTAGAAGGAGGAAAACTCACACTCACACTGACTGGGAAGCATGGAGGTGGATGTGTCATGGTTTGGGGATGCTTTGCTGCAGCAGGACTTTGCCATCTCACTCTAAAAAAATCAGCATGAAGTCTACTGCATACAGTATGGTAGGAAGAAAAAGGAAAATCGTGGCCTAGTCAAAGACCAGATCTAGATGTCGTTGGGATGATGTGGGGTGAAACAAGCTGAACAACATCTCAAACATCTCAGAGAGATGCCTTTATACATTTTCCCACTTTAATTTATTCTTTCAAAGCAGGTTATCACTGGCCAACAGCTGATTAAATGTCCTAAAAATTTAAAACCATCATTTGAAATTCTGGGTTTCATTGCAGCGCTCTTCTGCTATTTTAATGTTTGCAAGGTTCCTCTTGTGGGTTAGCTTAGACAGGCTAATCAGTCATAGACATGGAGGCTAAAATTTCCTATTTAAACACTGTTCTGTAGATATTATTAGATAGCAGTTCCTGTTGTAGAAAAACACATCACTTCCTCCATCTTTCCACAGTAACCCAGTTTCAGTGACACGATAAAGGTATTTCATACACATTGCATATTTTTACTGCTATCTCTTTCTAGGCATGGTATAAACCACCATATTTCAGACATATATGTACAAAATGTTTTGGGGAACAAAAATGTTTTTACTGTTTTCCAATGTTTTAGAATTGAATCTGGGTGAATGGTTGTTGAAAACCACTGTGCTTTGCTGTTGTCCTCTATTGGAAAATAGATTTTAAATTAGGCTTTCCTGGTAAGATGAAGGTTAAATAAAAAAAATAAAAGAACACTAGTAGCATGTTTGATTATTTGCATCTGATTTACCCCAAGGGTTTCTTGGTTGTGTGGTTGGACCCACAGCATCATAGGTCCTCTGCCATACTTTTCACAGAGAACCCAAGTAAAAGTCTTTGTTTTTGTTTTTTTGCTAGGAAGTTCCATGTTACAGTCATTTGACCAATGCGCATTGAAAGTCCCAATGTAGCTAAGCCAAGCCAAGACTGCCTCTCTTGGTCTCTGAGCAAAACCCTTAACCCCACACTGCTCCTCGGGTGAACCCACTGCTCTCCAAGGGGATGGGTTAAATGCGGAGAGTTCATTTCGTTGCTCTGTTCTTGTGACAGCGTAATGACAATAAGAGCTGAAAGAAAATAATAAAACTGATGATTATGTATTTAAACTAAATAAGCTATTTAAAACAAATGAATTTCCATCATGTAAGGTTTAGTTAATAGGTTTATGTTAATGTGATCTAAAAAAAAAAAGGAGATTGAATTTTGTATGCAATCAAATAACATATATCTTAAAATTTGTTATTTGTTTAACAGAAAGCTATATAGGCTAACTTATCTACTGTTTTGGGTTTAATTCGTACTCCAAGTTTGCCGATCAAACCAGTCTGATGATACCCTGACAAGGACATGAATGACCTGCTAATAGTTTTTGTAGGTCTGTCAGCAATAGTTCAAAACAATGCAGGAAAAAAAAAAAATTTTAATTTATTTTTTCTACAGGACTCAAATTCAGGAACAAGATGAAGAATCATAAATCCTCTTTTAATTTCTGCCCTATTAAAACTGAAAACCTTTTCTGAGCACAAAGGCGCGAGAAAACTGTACTAACAGCATCAACTGCAAAAAAGTATAGATTGAACTTTAACCTTCTCTGCTTTTCCGATCCAGGTTGGTTTGCTTGTTCTTAAAACGAGGAGCTGACTACAACGCCCGAGACAAGAACGACAAAGACCCCATAAACATCGCCGTGGACAACGCAAACGCAGACATTGTCACTCTGTAAGCTCTCGTGTTAAGAGAAACTCCCTGATCCTGCAGAAACAGACATTGTTCTGACTGTCTCCTCTCTTACTTCTCAGGCTGAGGATCGCCAAAATGAACAAAGAGATGCGGGATATGGACGGAGCATTCGGCCCATCAGGTCCGAACTCAGAGGGGCAGGAAAGCGGTGGGGTGGCGGGTGGTGCCAAAGGGGGCCGGGTGCACACTAAGAAAAGGATTCAGGCCAAAATGAATCAAATAAGCGACTGGGCTTTAGGAGGGGTGGAACGATTAGCAGAGCTGAAATCAGACCTTAAAACCTGAATAATAGCTTCCCAGATAACTGAATTTTCACAATTTATTCTACAACAGTCATAGAAATAAAAAGGAATATAGGAAAACTTAAAATAAAGATGAATCCATACTGAAACTCCAGGTGCACTTTGAATTAAACTGTGAATCGTGTTCACACCTCTTTTACAATGTCAGGTTTCTGTGATTTAAATGCAGCGATGAATCCTTTTAAAACTTTTCCACCTTTAAGGTGATCTAATCACCTTAACTAAAACACAATCATATCTATTAGAGGGACACAATGTGCAAAAAAAAATAGCTGAAGTAACCTGTTTGCAAAAGTGTGTAACACTTTGCTGAGATCCAGCATCCTGTTTTCTTTTGGTCATGCCTGTAAATTTGGCATAGCAATTTGTAATTAGCTTAAGCCGCCCTGATTTACTGGAGATCAGCTAGTTGCCATCGTTCAGTTGGAGAAATAGGCCTTGGAAAAAAAAAACAGATTCATTTTCCTCTAAATACAGCATCCAATCTTGGCTAAAATATTTTGGAAGAAAATGAAACTAAACTTCAACTTTTGGTCCGTGATGCTAAAGGGCATGTGATACCATGATGAGACTGAGAATCAACAGAACAAAGCCAAACTCAACAGGGGCTGCTTCATGTTATAGGATTAGACAGCAAAATATCTAAATCAAAGGCTGCTCCAACAAGCTTTAATTTTATTTCTACATATCCCCCATCAAAAACACTGCCTTATTGGTTCGGTTGCACATCAGGAGATATTTTCAACATTTTTCAAATGAATCGCGCAAACCTGGCGTTGTTTTATTGGTGCATGCAATGTTTATATTCACTGCAAATGCACATCAGCACTTTGAAAAAGGTGACTAAAAAAATAATATGTTTTTGTACTTGTTACTGTTGCATATTGTATAACAAGCCTTTTCCAATGAGTTTGGATACAACCTATTTACTTTCTATATATGTGCATGGCTGTACTTCCAGTTATTTAAGCTAAATTCAGGGTGGGGTTTTGAGCTCACTGGTAATTGTTTCCCCGCTATTCTGTGAATAGTGGCCTGATTGAAGCTGTTATATTTAATGTATTTATTAGCTACTGTTAGTCAGGTTCAAGGCGATGTTTTGTCTCTTGTTGAAGCTCCACAGTCTCCTCTTCCAAGACTGATCTGGGGTCAGTGTTGTTAACCGGCCTTAAGTTTCCAATGGGAATTAGTCTGGGGGTGGGAGGGTGTTTGGCATGGAGGAACGGAAACGTGTTTGTCTGCTGGTCAGTTTTTGAAGTGCTCTGCTTTTTTACTGTCTGTCTTTGTTGTGTGCTCTCCTCGCCCCGCTGAGATGCCCGTCTGGTCTCAACTGCTTGCGCAGTGTGTCACCTACAGCAATCTAAGAGGTAAATTGCATGTGCATGCCATATTGTGTGTGTCAGTTTGCTCCGCTGCATGCGTTATGCTTCATGGCCTCTGCTCATTTAACGGGTTCAGTTTGTCGCTGGGTTTCTGTAACTAAACACATCCTGATCCCCTTTATGTAGCTTTTTTGTTTTTGTTTGCTTGTTTGTTCGTTTTGTGAAAAAAAAAATGTTCTAAATACAATGAAGTGATATATTACAAAGGGTGAGGCAAAAGTATTCATACCCTATACTTTTCCACATGTTACCAACGTTTAAATCATAATGAAACAAACCAACAAAAACCTGTGCTTAGTTGAGGTGGAAGGAAAAGAAAACAGTCTAACATTTTCTTTCTTTCTTGAAAAATAAAGATCTAAAAGTGGAGTACGCATTACTATTCAACTCACCATTGCTGATTGTTTCCCGGCTACAAATATTTAACAGTACACAGCTCTACCAAGTGTACATAAATACATAAAAAAATATGTATTTAAGTCTTTGTGCGCTGCAAACAGCTCTAGCTCAGTGGAACTGGACAGAGTGGTTTTGAAAAACTTGAAAAGCCTTCTAACAAATTGAATTTAGGTTTGAACCATTCGATTGATATTTATTCCAAATACTGTAGACTTGGTTGTACATCTATGGTCGTTGTAGTTTAAAAGCTGTGTGTAACTCTTTTCCTTTGGAATGATGAATAATGAACAGAAATCTGTAAGATGTTCAAAGTTTTTAAATTTTTTCTTGTAATCTGCCTCTGCTGTAAACTTAATCCCGGACCTGTCTGCTGTGTGCTTTGGTCCTCATGTTTACATTTCAAAAAAAAAAAAAAAAAAAAAAAAGAAGTATTTTCAAGTATTAGAGTAAAAAGATGGTGGATGCAAAAAAATAAAAAAAAGAAACTTTTATTTTAATTAGCAAAAAAAAATCGATTTTCCCTCCATTTTATGGTTATGCACTACTTGTAGTTGGTTTATCACCTTAAATCCTTACAAAACCAAAGAAGTCCTTTGTTGTTGTAGCAAAATGAGACATTTTGGGGGGTATGAATAATTTTACTGCAGCCCTGAAGAGATGTCCAGTATTAAGCTTTGAGGCTGATGTCTTGTTCTTTGGTATCTTCCAGGTGATGAAACTTACCAGGACATTTTCAGAGACTTTTCACACATGGCCTCTAATAATCCAGAGAAGCTCAAACGCCGCAGTGCGGATCCTAAATCTTAAACGCCCTACACCCGACCCCCATCAGGCCTTTCCGTCATTCGGTCCAGGTCTAACTTTTACAGCCCTCAACCCAAGCAAACACTTTCTTTTCCACAAAAGCAGAAAGGATGGAGCTCCAAGGCATGCAGACACATCCATCATCATTGGCTACCTCCAAGTGTCGAGCTCAGCTGGGTGTCGACTGCAGAGCCGGGGGGGGGTATGGATGCTCTAAACAGGGAATGCATTGTGTGATCACGTCATCTTAGAACAATCGCATCCATGTGGAAACACAGGAGCAGCTTTATGAGTCCAGCGTGAGGTGTTTTGATGTCCCGCTGAGCGGCGCCATCACTCTGCTAAGGTTTCCTAATTAAAAGCAGTAAATCTGATTCCTTTCCTCTTAGTTTTTTTTTTTGTTTATCAAAATGGGCTTCCTGTGTTTTTTTTTTTTATGATGTGATTGTTCTCCATTAATACTGACTTTTTAAAATGCATGTTACAAAGAGACAAATGTTGCAAAAAAATCTTTTATTTCAATAAAATACCATCAAATTTATACCGTTGGCAGACTTCTCCATTACAAAAGACAATATTTATGTATATTTTGTCTACATGATGTGAGCAACTTTAAATTTGACAAAATAAAACAGTAATGTTTTAGTGCTATCGCTTTTCTCATACAAGTCCACTAGAGGGCGGCAACGATCAGAGCTGGGACATGCACAGTGTGGTGTAATTGAAATTCACTAAGATGACCTATTATTTGTGATCTGGTTACGAAAACATTTTTAGCTCCAAATAGTCCCCAGTTTTATCCAGGGCTCTCTTTCATTGCGCCAACCCTCCAGTGAGTGTGTCAGTAACCAGCAGTTCATTGTGACCCCAATGTTCACCCAGCTGTTCCCGAGGCCAAACATCTCTAGTGTTACAAAGGCATCCTCGGTTTATGGTTTACAGAGGTTCGCTGAACACGTGCAAACAAAATAAGAGGGTCATCAGAACGTGCCCTTGAGAAAACAAGAGTATTGTGCTCCTGCAGTGCAGTGATTTAAGGATAGTCATGACTCTGATTGGTGTAGATCTTTGTTCCTCATAATAAATCAGAGTCAGTAGAGTTCTTTCCCCTACAAGGAGAAAGAACTTCACCTCATTAAAAGACATTCATCCGCATGACTTGGTAATAAAGTGTTAGCTAAGGGGGGGAACTTCTGTCAGGCCAAGGTTTAATATGTACCGTATAAAAAACTTTTTTTATTTAAGAAAGTATCAAGTAACAATCTAAAAAAAACTAAACCTGAGCTGCTGTCTCCCAGAGGTATAACAACGCAGACTGGATATGTTGAGGACCTTTAATCTCTTCATAGAGCTAATTCTGTACCATCTGATTTATCTTTAAACCAAATCAATAATTAAAATGAATAAAAATGTATACTTTAGATTGATTTCTCAAAAAAAAAAATCTCATTAAATTTAGATAGTTGAAGGTCAGATCTATTATCCAGCCTTACATACAGGCAGGATTGTATGTCTTAATCATTATTAGACAACAAAAGGATATATTATGTCAAAAGAAAATTTCAAATTACTGCTTTGAGAGATTTGTGTGTTAAACATATGAGGGCATCTATCAGCAAAAATATTCCCCATGAAGCCACTGGCATGAAATATCTCTGGAAATGTTGGTATCAACTTAAATTTTACCTGTACTGCTTATTTGTACATAAGGCTGAGTAATTGACATGTTCATATAAAATTAAATTACTGTAAAGCTACTGTAAAACAGTACAATTACGTAAAAATGTTCCCACTCGGCAGGCATTATCTGGAAGTGGGAACAACATAGTCTATTTAAAACAGCCATGGCCAGGGCATCCTTCAAGATTTCCACAAGAGGAATCAAAATAATCCGGTGAGGGATAAGAGAGAAAATAATCACCAGGAGAGTTCAGAAATACCTGGAATAGTATAAAAACTATTTCTTTTTTTCAACTGGCCACTATGGACTCTGTCCGCAAGACTCCACTGCTGAAGAAAAGCATAACAAAACTTGTCATAAAGCCTTTAAGTATGTATGGGACAGTATATTTTTCCTTGAACTATGCTTACCCCATGTTTAGAGGAGAAATGTAGCTGCAAACGGCCCTAAAATCACAAGTTTGTAAGTGGGATTGTGGTGTTCTAAGGGCTTTTTTTTTTACAGCATTTGGTACACTGCACAACTGAAAAAAGGATAAAGCTAGACATGCGCTTGGTCCATTAATAATAAGATAATTGCCTCGTTTAAAATTTATTTACAGAGACAGATACTAAAGTGTTTCAATACTTATTCCCTAGCTGTATTTCAAAATTACATATTTTGATGCATCCTAATATCTTTGTCAAGTAGCATAAAAATGCACATTAGATGAGGTGCATTGCTTTTTTTTCTCCACTTGTCTTTTACTTGCCCATTTCAAACTGAGCCTCTGACATATTATGGTAAAACACTCAGCAGACTTTTGCAAACAGAAAGATCTCCCCTGGTCATTTCACCTCGCTGTTTGTTCCACGGCTTGATGGTTGAACTCAGAGGAGTAGCTGTTCTCCGGTCCCAGCTCTAAGTGCAAAGTTTCACTGTTTTCAATGAGGGTGGGTCTTTGAGGAGGTGGTGGGTCCGTGCAGGAGAAATAGCCAGGCAGCGTGGTCATGGTCAGGCTGCCGAGGAGCACGAAGGAGCCGGCCACCATGAAGGAGGCGACGTAGTTTCCTGTGATGTCTCTGAGCCAACCTGTGAGCAAAGAGGATGAAAAGGCAAAAATAATCCGAAAGTGCAGTGGATGAAGCTGGTAATCATTGATATAAGCTTTTGTTTTTCAGGGTGGAATGATTTAAAAGCAATTCTACAAATGATTTCAAAAGAATATTTAGGACCATCAGTTTAAACTCATTGTAAATGATCTCTAATCCACACAGGGTCCTCCCTATGAGTAAAGGCTCAGAAATATACATATATCATTTGGTAATGTCTAGAGGAATGATCCTTAGAAAAACACGGGGGAAAAAACATTTTTTTTGCTCATTTAACAAAACAATGGCTGGAAATTAGCAGTTTTGTAAGAGCTCATTTAACTTTTTTATTTTCATGGTATAAACTGAGATTGGAAATAAACTGCATACATTGCTTATTTTTAGATAATAACCAGTCATATTGATTTAATCATGTTGATTTCAGTTTAAACTAAATATCAACAAGCACCTGTCTCCAAAGGTTATTGAGTACATCCTGAACAGAACCTCAGTGCATCGCAAGGGAAAACAATACAACCACATAGCATAGTTTGGACTCTAATCCAAACGCCAAACATAATGATTAAGATTCAAATTAAGGATCTTCCTGCTGTCACACTAGCAACTGTACCTACTATCTAACGATGCTTCTCACCATAATATATCCCTAAGAAGTGTTTTACTTGATGCAATCAAGAACATTAAGTGGGGGAATTCAGACTTTCTTCTTGTTATAAGTGCTTGCTAAATGACCTATCACTGTTAATCCTTAATCAATAAACAATCAAAGTTTAATTAAGAAAACTGTTCAGGTAAATAATCATATATGAATCAGGATATAATCCCATATCCTAGTATGGCCTTAAGAAATCTCCCAGTGTTGTGCCATATGCCATGATAATGGTTTTTGGACATTGGGAACCAGTGTCTATATTTACTATTGGCATGATGACCAGAGAAGAGGATACTAGTTTGGCTCACAAATAGCTACAATATCTCAACGACCCCCCCCCCCCCCCCCCTTTTCAGCCAAAGCAGTCACAGGCAAGTCACATGGTAACTCCCACAGAGATGTGACAAATCACCCCACTTTATATGAGGACAAGAAAACCACAGAACACACACAGGATGGCTCTCTTTTCCCTTCGCTCCTGCCTGGGGTGCAGGTTTACTGGTTTTCCACCACACTGGAGACCTGGGCCCCAGGGGACCCAGATCTCCAGAATCATCAAGGACCATCATGGTGACCTTTCAGAACCAAACTGTTGCAAAACAGACTGTTTCCAACACATTTCTCTTGAGTTCCAGAACTTATAGAGCCAGACTGGATGAGAAGGACCCCTGCTGTGAGCCGAGATGAAGAAACCCCTGGTAACTGTTGGCCTGACTGCTGAGCTGCTGCTGGATGGAACTCAAGCCTTCCAAATTGACAAAAAGAAATGACAGATGCTCTCTGGTATAAAACTCAAAATATATCAGAATGTGCACATTCACAGGTGCCGCACAGAGTGCATGTCAGGACATGTGTTTTTGTTCAACTACCAGAGGTGAGTTGTGCTTGTATATCCTGTAACACAAAGGAGTTAGGCAACTGTAGAGCTCCTATGCAAAGGATAGGAATGTCTGGCTGTTCCCATGCAAACTGAACTATTGATAATAAGCATCCTATTTCATTTTCCTACCACCTTCCTTAGTGCCAGCCCAATTTGGACTGCACTTATTATGTCAACTGCCGATGGACTTCTGCTTTGCCTTAAGTGCCCTTACAGATTTGCCAGATTTGCAAGGAGCCTTCAACTCTACTGCTGCTATTTAAATTAGTGTTTTCTTTATGTTTTTATTTCGCACAGAAATAAAGACCTACAGAAGTGTTTCAGTTTTTACTTGTGTCTCTTTCAGGAAAAGGCTAATGGTAGCTAATGATGTTATAAACAATCTTTTTTTTCTTTCCAATTTGAATCACTGAGGACTTTATGCTTTCTGCCCGTGGACCTGTTGGTCACCCGAGTTAGATGAGGTGGCTTTAAGTATTATTTTTCACAGTAAATACATTTTAACACCTACCTGACAGTGGAGTACCCAGCAGTCCTGCACTGCTCTCGATCAGCTGCAGAAGCCCAAGGCCCCCCATCATGCGCTCCACCCCCATAATCATTGGCACCACAGCGAACACCAAGGAGGTCAAAGCCCCAGAGCAGAACCCATAGAGAAGGCTGATTATCATCAATGCGGTGTAGGAACCCGACAAGGAGCTCACAGGCAGTAGGATGATGAACGTCCCCGCCAAAACCGTCCACAGCGTCAGTAGGTGAATGATCCGAAAGTGTCCCAAGTCAGAGAACCAGCCTGACGCTATTCGGCCAAAGATGTCTGTGACGCCTGCAGCTGACATGATGAACGCCGCCCGGTACTCAGAGAAGCCCACCTGCCGGCTGTGTGCCACCAGGTGGAAATATGGCACAAAGTAGCCGAAGTTAAAAAAAGTAACTCCTAAAGTGTAGGTGAGATAAGGCCTCTCACAGAGCAGTGATACCTCCAGGTAGGAGGAGACTCTCTGCAGCATATCAGAACATGATTGTTTGCTCTGTGACTCCACCTGCATTGGAAAGAAAAAAAAAAAGCTAAGATGACACTGAAATATACATTTAACTATGATGGTTATTCTGCAGGCTACATAATATCTGTAAAGCTGCTCAATCTGACCCACCTTTGCCGGGGCTTTAGAGGAGCACTCTGGTCGGATAAGGGCTCCGCAGACCACAATGTTGAGACTGAGGCCCCCAAGGATGAGCAGGGCTCCCCGCCAGGCATACGTCTCAACCAGCAGCTGGAAAAGTGGGTTAAAAGCAAAGGAAGAAAGGCCAATGCTAGAGAAGCCCAGTCCTACAGCCAGGGCTCGTCTACGGGTGAAGTTAGCCATGACTGTGGCCAACATGGGGGTGAAAACCAGCCCCCAGCCCAAACCTGATGAACCAAAGAAAGTCAACCCATGATTACCTTATTACAGTTAGTCTTGGAAAAAAAAAAATTCACTGCAATTATTTAGCACAAAGTAAGCCATGTTTTAGATCAATCATTGATCAAAGATAAGGTATAACCTTTGAAGAGCGGAAACTGTTTTGATCTTTAAGTTCAATTCAAATTTAAAAGGTTAAAATAGAAAATAGAGGCAAGTACCTGAGATTAATCCCATAGTGAGGTAGAGGTGAACCAGGCAGGTGGCCTGTGAGGCCAGTATGAGTCCGAGCCCAGAGAGGAAGCCTCCTGCCATTACCACCAATCTGGTATTATATGCATTACACAGAGCTGCCCCCAATGGGCCTGCAAAACAAAATAAATCACTGTAAAACCCAATAATTGGATCGAGGCTCAAATAAGGAATTGTTTTGAATGCAAAGTTAAGAGCCATATTAAAAAAAAGCGTGCCACAAAGTCATAGAGTAATTCTTTATTAAAATCAATGCAATGGATATGCGTAAAACTCATCCTGCTTCCTCTGACACAATTTCACATGCAGTGGTCTGCTTAATTATTCAGCTCATTACATGCAGCAGCTTGCAAAATTATTCCTACCCCTTGAACCTTTCCACAATTTGTCACATTACAACCACAAGCATAGATATAGCTTAATAGCTTATGTATGTAACAAAAAGTGTCATACAGATGTGAAGTTAGTAGAAAAACACACATGCTTTCTTTTTTAAACAAACAGAATATCAAAAACTGCATTTTAGAAAAGTGTTCAGCTCCTCCGAGTCAATACTTTCTGGAAATATGTTTTGCTGCAATTACAGCTGCAAGTCTTTTAGGGCAGGAATCCCCAACCTTGGTCCTCGAGGCCCGCTGTCCTGCAGGTTTTAGAGGTTTCTCTGCTCCAGCACAGCTGATTTTAATTGAAAGCTGATTAACAGGGTTTTGGTCTACTGCAGTCGTTATAATCAGCTGTGCTAAAGCAGGGAAACCTCTAAAACCTGAAGGACAGCGGGCCTCGAGGACGAAGGTTGGGGATGCCTGTTTTAGGGTATGTGTAATTTTTTCAAAACAGCTCAAGTCAGATTAGCTAGAGAGTGCTTGTGAATTGTTGTTTCAGATCTTTCCACATATTCTCAATCGGTTCTAGGTCTGGACTTGGTCTGGGAACATGGATATGTTTATTTTAAACAATTTCACTGTAGCCCTGTTTTTTTTTTTTTTTTTTTTTTTTTTTTACGTGTTTTGGTTGTTATTGCGCTAGAAGGTGACCCTTTGCCTCAGTCTTAAGTCCTTTTCAGACTCAAAATTTTTTTTTCTAGGATTGGCTCCATCTATCTTCCCCTCAACTCTGACCATCTTCATTGTCCCTGCTGAAGAAAAACCTCTCCCAGAGCATGATGCTGCCACCACCATATGTGACAGTAGGGATGGTGTGTTCACAGCCTTTTGCATTTTGGTCAAGGAGTTTAACATTTGTCTTTCAAGACTTCATATGTTTTTCTCTGAACAATGGCTTTCTTCTTGCCACTTTCCACAAAGAGTTGTCCTGAGGACAGATTTGCCCGCCTGAGCTGTAGATCTCTGTAGTTCATCCAGAGTCACCACGGAACTCTTGACTGAATCTCTGATTAGTGCTCTATTTTTTCAGCCTGTAAGATTAGGTTATTAGGTTTACAGCTGTAATACCGTAATCTTTCCATTTCCAAATGATAATCTTTTCATTGGCGAAACCTGTCTGAACTTCTCTACAACTTCATCATGAATTGTCTTTTATGGGGTAAAGAGAAAATTATGCATTTCTGCAAGTCATCTAGGAGTCTTCAGTAAAATAGATAACATTTTAATAAAAATTTATTAAATTATCAATTTATGTAGATATTAGTACTTGTCAATATCAATTTTATGCAGAATAATTATTGATAAAAGTAGGTAAGAGATAACAATGGAAAAGATGTTCACCCAAAACTCAAACCTGAAAGAATTTTATCCACTATACCTTTCATTTAGAAAGCACGGATGTTTAAATATATATTCATATATTTGTTAGCAAAGGATGTGGGAAAGTATAGTTGGTCTTTATTTAGAAAATATGGATATTTTGCTTGTTAATTTTCCTGTTGGAACAGTGTACATCCGCTTTTGACCCCCCCTCAACGTACATTGGTAATTGCCTGGCCACCCTTGTAAAACATTTCTGGCTCTGATCACCAATCATCAGGAAGCTTATTAAGACAATTGGCTGCACTCAGATAAAAGGGGGTTGAATACTTTTGCACACTGTATTAAATCACGTATAAGTTGTTTTGTTTTTTACGCTTTTTTCAAAGTTGTATACCACTGTGTTATATTACAGCAAAATATATTTATGTTTGCGATTTTGATGTGAAAAAATGTGGAAAAGTGCCAGTACTATGAGTACTAAAGTGTTAATGCTTTCAAAAATGACTAATGATCATCTTTTATTATATCAGCAAGGCCCTTCAGTGTTTTATGACTCTTAAACTTAATTTTTGGGGAGATGCTGACAGTCATTAAAACAAACTTTGTAAATGTTTGATCATTTTACTCACAGCTCTCTCCTGTTTTTGGACCTAAATGTTTGAATGAAACTGTATAAGCTTAAAGAAATGCACGACTGCACAGATGGACCTAATGGGGAGCATCGTCTCCTACCTCTTGTTTCATGCATTGATTTTAAATAACCATGATAAATACTTCTCTTATGAGCATTTTTCTTCAGTCTTGCACAGCAAATAAATTACTAATTCGACACGAAAAATACTAAAACTAAAGATTACTGGTTTGGGTCTTTAGAGTATTCAATTAAAAGCAGGAGGGCAGGGTTCAACCTCGGACTCACTGAAGAACTGCTGCGCTGCCAGGCCGATGGAGGAGATCCAGGAGATGGCCTGGGCGCTCTCCTCGAAGTACTGGACGAACTCCACGAAGAAGACCCCCAAGCTGCGCATCAATCCGAACACGAGGCTCGTGCTGACGAACATCGCAAGGAGCAGCACCCAGCCCCAGCCTCCATCGGGGCCTTCTTCTCCATCCCTCTGGCTCCTTGGTTTCAGCTTGGAGTCGGCCATGTCAACAGAAGAGTGACCTAAAAAACACATGTATTTGTAAAAAAAAAAAAAAAAAAAAAAAACTAAAAGGGGGGGGGCTTAAGTTGACCAGTTAGAATCTGAAAAAGCAAAAGTGGACAATAAGTCACAGATCCTTGCTCTAGTTGTCAAACGCAGTAACCATTAACCTCCAGCTGGGTAATAAACTCTCCTCGGTGTGATGTATATGTAACTAAACCTCCTTACAAGTTGGCCTTCTACAACCTGATGTGGGTGAAAGGTGACAGGACGGCAACAAAAGCTTGTCACATGTTGGTTATTGATTACTGAGGGTTAACTACTGTGCATAATCAATGCAAACAATAAGATATTACACTGCAGTCAGTCCAGTTCAACCTGCAAATGTCTAATTCTGCATCTGTCATTTAAAATATTAACACCACAATTTATACACCTAAATTATAACTAAAGCCATCACTAGAAAAATACATTAATAAAAAAAAAAAAAAAAAACTGATATCAACATTTTTAATGATCTACAGCAGTTGAAAGTATGATAACACAGTAACAATTGTGAAACTTTTTCTGTCATTATTTTTTTGCTTTCACCATCATTTATTTTTTTTTAAAGAAATTTTAGAGTATAACGCTGGGTTCTACAAATGGTTTATGTTATCCAAAAATGAAAGATTTGGCCTTCGGTGTTGTTATCATTTTGCAGATGTTTATAATGTTCTTTTTTATATAAAAAATATCTATGTCTAAATATAAATATTTAGGATATCTGAATAATTGCATTCTTGCTAAAATTTTGTTTTAAACCCAACGGAATTAATTTATCGGCGGGAAAAAGGAGCCTTTGTGTTTATTGTGTTAAAAAATCAGTTTAAATATTAACCAATTTCAGGAGCATCTCAAAAGGGAATTAAACATGTGAAAAACTATAATTCTACCTGTAAGAAATTTTTGAAAATGGTCACCAAAGTCAAATAAACCAAGTAGAGATTTGCAATACTCCATATTTTTGGTATTAATCCACAATGAAGTAAACACATATGTAAGTTTGTTAATCATCAGACTTCTGATTTCTGTCCAGTATTTGGTCAAGGTTTATAGCAGGCAACTTTTAAAACACGATATTAATATGACAAACAGAGAAAATAGAAAAGCAGAACAAACTTGAGCATTTTTCTTAAATAAACAAAGTTTAACACGAAATTTCAGAACAAATCAAAATATTTCTGTAGGTAGAGAGCTAATAAAAAAAGGAAAACAAAAAAATGCAATAAAAAATGGAACAAAATTATCAATCACAACCAATTTTGTTAAAATATCAGATAAGAATTCCTAGAAGGCTCAATGCGGTTCTGTCCTCTTTGGAATGAAAACACAACAGTCCACTTACCACTGAGACAGAGCAGCAACTTGACTTTGGCCTTAAAAAAAAAGAAGAAAAAAAAAGAAAAATACTAAAGCATCCATCTCACAACGACAGCATTGATCCGATATCAACTTTGTATCAATATTATCAACATTTTGGATCAATCCGCCCGTCACCACCAAGTGTGGCAAATGAAAAGAAGATGAGTGGATGAGCTATAACGGTGAATTTGATTTAAAAAAAAATCTAAGTACCTTAATTTAAAAACTATGATGATAGGTGATAAAATAGAATATAAATCCCCGGAAGAAATTTTATGTATGCCTGTAATTCCATCTCAAAACTCACCACATGGACATATGTGTGATTGAGATGATGGTATCCATGCATTCTACTTGTACTTGAAAGCTGTAACACCACGTAATACAGAGTTTCTGTAAATGTAAATCCCTTTATTGTCCCTCAATGGGTAAATTCACTGTCTGCATTTAACCAATCCCCTTGGAGAGCAGTGGGCTGCCATTGTGTGACACCCTGGGAGCAATTAGGCGTTAAGGGTTTTGCTTGGGAAGCCAGAATGGAGGCTGTGGGGATTGAAACAGGTACTTGCAACCTTCTCAGAGTAGGCCAACACTCCCCACTATGTTAAAAGCTATAATGGTGGGCATGGTGGCCGAATACGAACAACAGAGAAAATCAGAGACCAAAAGCACTGAACTGGTACACCAACACCTCAGAGATTACATCATGGAACATTCCCAGTCCAATTTCAGAGGTAAATGGATAGTAATACAGGGCTGTGACCTAAATATGTACCAACTTCATACATATTTACTTAGTTCCAAGCTGTGCAGTTTGTAACCAGCAGGAAAATCCAAATGCAGTGGCCAAGTCTGAACCCAGAGAGGGCAGCACTGAGACAATTTCAGGCAAGTTGAGACAAAAATGTAAAGATTTGCACAGCGATATAAAGATAGTGGGTCCACTTAATGTAGTTTATCTGCAATGAAAAGTTGATTCAGGGGTTCGCAACTCTTAAAGGTTTCATAAGCATTATTGACAGGGTTGTGCTCAAAAGTTGGAACTTTCACTTTCTAAGTCAAAAGTAATTATAGGAAAATAAAGGCATTTGTATAAACTACTGAGGTTTCAGAGATCAAGGTTCATTTTAGGCATTAGAAATCTGTTTTATACTTGGCCACTCTTATACTATTCAGCCTCTGGCAACAACTAATAGGAGAGACTGTAGACAGTCGTACAAAAGGACAATTGCAACAAGTAATTTTTCTCAAATCAGAAAAATGCTATACTGATGACACTGACAATGCCCATGTTCAGTTGGACCCTCTCCTAACCAGCAGGACAGAGCACACATTCAAGATAATCTTTTGAATTTAGTGCAAAAAGTGTGGTTTCAAGGTGTAAAAGTATTTTTTTCAAGTGTTTTTTCATACTGCCCAAATTATTTTTCTAAACTAATTCTAACTTAGATTGAATAAATGTTTTGTTTTCTTCAGAGTTAATATTATTTTTTATTTATTTCACCCAAGCTTTATCAAATGTTGAAGATGTCCCTTAAAAAAAAATCATTTTTTTTATTTTTTTTTTTTTATGTTTTCAAAACTGACATTTGTCAAGAATATGTTGATAAGTTCTGTTTGCCATTGTAATTTGAAATGTTTAACAAAAGTAGTTTTAAAAATGTTTCTTTTTTCCTTTCATTTAGTTTTGAGTAAGTTTATGTGTACTTTTCAGAGAGCCCAGGGTTGCAGTTTAGTTGTTGGTATGTAAGTTTTATAAAAAGTACATCTATCTATCTATCTATCTATCTGTCTGTCTGTCTGTCTGTCTGTCTGTCTGTCTGTCTGTCTGTCTGTCTGTCTGTCTGTCTGTCTGTCTGTCTGTCTGTCTGTCTGTCTGTCTGTGTGTGTGTGTGTGTGTGTGTTTGTTTATACAAATAAATAAAAAATACATTGTTAGACTAAGAAAGTCAGTATGACTGCCCCATTGACAGAGTTTTGTTGTAGCAGCTTACTTTTGCTTTCATGAATATTTTGAAAAATCTTTCCCATGTAATCGCCTTTAAATAGTATGGGCAAACAGTGGAAATTTAATGTATACATAAATACTTAGGGTAATCGTCTTGGAGTAACTAGAAAAACGTGTTGCAACCGTCCCCAGTCTCCCGTTTAAAATAAAGAAATCTACTCCAGTAAATGTTTGACTAACTGCCTATACAATGTTTAGGTATAACATAATCCCAAAGATTCCGACCTCTGCTTTTTAAATTGACTTATTTTTGACTGTTTATACGTGAATATTAACGCATGACTTCATTATATCTTTAATTGTACTGCCATACAGTCATGGAACTGGCGTAATATTCCAACAATCCCTGCCACTGGTATTTAGGACTTTGACAGCTAAAGCGTTTTACTCTCTTTGTGAGTGTTATTAAAAGTTTCATTAAAAAAAAACTTTTTATGTCATGAAACATGGGGGAACGAAAGTCTGTTTCAGTTCCTCTGTACCGGAGCAGAATGGTGGGGACACCGGCTGATCAGCGGACAAAGCAGGGGCTTCGCGTTAGGCCCACTTGCTGCTAAAATAAACTTCCTAAACTGTGTGTAACTTGATATAACTACTCACCCTCCGTCTGTGCCCGTGTCAGCTCTGTCCGCAGCGCCTCATGGTCCTCCTGGTTCAGAGCAGTAAACTACTGAAAACATTAACAGATCGCGGGACATGAAACACCTCACTAACTGATTCTGCGCAGTCACCCCTGCAGCGCGCATGTTATGCAGAAAGCTCACTGGATCCAGCCAAGGGTTAATGATTGCGTTAATTCATTAAAAATATATTAAATCGTTTTCCAGCTTTTTGAGTTTTCTGTGGGTTTTTTTTTATTTTTGTTTTATTTATATATTTTTTAAAGTTTATGGAGTTGTAAACCTGTTGCATTTTTTCGGATCTTTCGCAACTTTTATGCATGACTGGTCTCTTGACAGGGGCAGTCCTAAATCAAAGGGGGGGGGGGGGGTTGAGTGTCTTTTAATGGGACACAAAAAAAATAAATAAATAAATTTAACAAAAATTTCATCATTTGATACTTTAAGGATATATTGCAATCAATGGCTACTGCCTCCCTGTACTCACTACAAGGCTCGGACTGGTAGTGGGCCAGCCCTCTTTGAATCATACCCGCCCCAACACTTAATCTCCGGCCAAAGCATCTACCTGTGACAGTGAATAACTCAAAAAGCTCAAGAAGTAATACAATATTAACTACCTAAATGATGCATGCAGTATATATAGGTCTTCCTTGTGACGGTTGGCATATGGTGTAATTTTCTATTTCTTCAAACTTTCTTCAAATCAATTCAACAAACTAACTTATAATAGAACTAAAATGTTTTGTTTAAATAAAACTACGATGTTTCTCTTATATTTGGCAAATTCATGTTTGAATACTTCTCAAAAATATGTTGCGGTGTATGATGGGGTTTTGCATCTAAAGGCTAACATTTACCATCCTACGTGCATTGTTGCCAGGTTGGGATGCTTCTTAATCTGGCAGTTTGGATAGCCGTCTATGGGTAAAAAAAAATTTTGTTTAGATTTATGGCCTAATAGATCAATAGACTGGTTCAAACTGAGCAAGATTTCGTATATCCTGGCAGTTTATGAACTTTGAACAGTGACATCTGGCAACCCTGCTGATGTGGAGAGTGTGTACGTTACGCAGCAGCAGTCACTGTCACGTCCGTGTTAATAACCAAAGCCATGGTTGTTGGCTTTGGTTATTAAGTGTAGATGGAAAAATGCCAGGGCCAAAAATAGTTCCCAGTCCGAGCCTGTTAAATACACACTGCACTCGCTGCAAACACCCTTGCAGTAGAACTTATTCCCATTAATGTTGCTGTAGTGCAGTGTTTCCCAACCTTTTTTGACTTGGGCACCCTTTTGGGCATTTTGTTTGACCATGAGTCTCAGTCAAAAGTATTGATGAATTTCCAAAAGTGGAACGTACAATAACTGACTATAAAATGAAAACTATTTTACTTGATCTTTAAATTGGAAAATTAAATTTTGGGGCATTTTATTCTTTCTATCTCAAATGTAAAAAAAAAAACAACATAAATATGTCGCCTGGAAGTTAATAAAGGAATGAAATTAAATACAAAATAAAATCATACTATAAACCTGTATTTATAAAATACGGTTGAACTACACTCCAATTTTATTTTGATAACACATTAAGAAAAATCAGTTCAATTTATAATGATTATGACATTTAAGCTTGCTTTATCAACGCTGACATATGGTAGCTGAAATTAGAGGCCATTTAAAAGGACAACACTTTGTAACTCTTTTATTTCGAAAAGCAGTTTTCGCCATGAAAAAGACTCTGCATCATTTTTAGTTTGTTTTTTTTTACTTTTTAAATATACTTGTTTTACCTCCAGGTGTTTTCACCCCCTACATTTCAGCTCAGCCTTTTCACTTTGACAATCCTGCTGGTTGGGTTTTTCCACAATGACTCTGTGTCTTAAGGGCTGTCATAATCTGCTAGACTATCCGTAATCTGAATGGGAACACCTTGAACCTAACCTTAAACTGATATGAAGTCCTAGCTTCTGTGAGGATTTGCTCTTTCTAAAGTCAGACTTCTTCTATTATAATCATTTTATTATCTTACCAATCATAAACCATTTTATATGCATTCTGTAAATCCCCACACTGACATAAACACGACTGACTGCGAAATAGTCATACGTTTCTCATATGTTTTCTCTCCTTCCAGACTTCGGACCAGAAATAAAATTGCATTTCCTCATGGTTAGGTTTATGCTGGTGGAGATTCTCAGTCATCCAGGTCATTCCAAAAAAGTTAAAAACAATCCACTGGACTGTTTCCGCATTTGAAGAGTTTGACTTCCCATCCAGGAAGCTTTTTCAATTTAAAATGTCAGAATAAGCGTTGAGTTCGAAGCATTATATAGTAGCCCAAAAACTTTTTTGGCTTTGAAAAAATGCAAATTTTACCGGAAGAACAGGTCTGCCTCTTAGGAATGGGGAGTTATTTTGGGTTTTTTGTTTGCCTGCAATACTAGATACTGGGCTATGCCTCTGAAAGGGGGTCAAATCAGCAAGGAAATCCAAAAGACATGCAGCAGAACATAACTGTGGGAAAATTCAATGCAAAAACATCTGCATCCCATATGGTGCCTGAGTCTCTGAGAAACTCAAGAGGATTTTGTCCAAACACAAAATCCAAACAAGACCCTTAAACAGAGGATAGTGCATCCTAAAGGCAAAAGCCCCCAGACCTAAGATGAGCGGAGTGGTGTATGCAGCTCAATGCAGTGAGGAATGCTCTGATCTTTGGGACATTAATTTGAGGACCAGAATGTTCACATTTTGGGCGAAGAAACAGGTGGTTTGGACAGGGGTGTAAAGGAAGCCATTTATGTTAAGAGAGAAAAAACAACCTTAAACAGAGGGGGTGGACTCAGCTCTCAAAAACCTGCAATGGGGTGATAGAGATTATTCTTTCCCGCTTTCATTTCAACCCCCAAGCCCAATGCAGGGAGCAAAACATCTCACCTCACCTGGGCAGTCAAGCTAACAATTGCCCCTAACGACCCCCCTTTCAAAGGCATAGCCCAGTATTGGGTAGTACAGGCTAACAAAGAACCCAAAACGACTCCCCATTCCTAAGGGGCGGATATATTTCAATAAAAACTCACAAAATGTCTCTTTAACATTAATTAAGGAAATGACTAGTTAACTATGTGTGATACAGACGATGGGATTATATTATGAAAAGGATGCCACAGGGCTGACATGAGAAAACACCACCGAACTCTTCTTTGATCCTGTTCTTCTGATGAATAATGTCTTTTGAGTAGTTGTTTGAATGGAAATGGAGCATAAAGCATGGAGCGTTGGTTCCCGTTCCTGCTTTATAATCCTCTATGAAACAAGCCTAAACTATTGCTATTGAAGATAGGAGATTGAGATAAAGTGCACTGTTTCCAAAGTTTTGAAACCATCACATTTAAAGAATATTAACCTAATACTGGCCGGTAGTCTCTGCAGTACATGCTGAAGGTTATAGCCTGGAGATGCAAACAGAATCAAATCTGCAAAAGGGTAGTAGCGGGTCTCTGAGCAAGACCCTTAACCCCACACTGCTCCCCGGGCACCCCCCGCTGGCAGCCCACTGCTCCCCAAGGTGATGGGTTAAATGCAGAGCTTAATTTCTCCAATGTGAGACAAATAAAGTTCAATAATTATTTATTAAAAAGTTAAGGTAAACCATGGATCCTAAGCCAAACACATTAATTGAATACAGCTCGAGGTCCCGTTCACGAAACCTGCAAAAGAGATCGATATCAAGGGCAGCCCTGCTAATTTTTACTGTTTTTCAGGTACAACCAAGGTAAACTTCCCCAGGGATGCTGAGAAATGTGATCCTTTGATATTTAGATAAGACACATTACATACATTTTCTATTCCTCTGAAATACAGACAAAAAAATGTATATGGATCCTTGCACTTATAAATAACACATCTCTTTATTGATTCAGGCTGACCCAAATAAATCTTATCATTTACATTTATTTTTCTAATGAAAGAGGGTATCCATTCTCTTTCCTGCAGAAATCAATGGATGTTTCCAGTATTGCACAATTCTTCAAACATCAACTTTATTTTCTTTCTTTGTTTTTACTTTGATGAAATACCTTTGCAGACTTCCTCTTCTTTAAGCAATTATATTTTTGCATTAGCAAAATGATTTCTAGAGAAAAATGCTCAAAGGGGAAAACTTGAAGTTGCTGGTTTGATTTCATCATTTTATGCATAGAAGAAATGGAAGGGAGGTGCAGTGTAGAGACTGGAAATTCCCATCAAACTTCCAGCGTTTGTCCATAAAGCTAGGACAATAAGGTCTAGAGAGCTATAGCTCATCAGGGAGCAGGAAGCACAGATGACAGAGGGTGGGAGAGTTCACAGACATCCCTTCACCTTAAGGAAGCCCCCCGCACGTGTTGGAGTCTCACAGTGCAGCCCAAAAACAGCAAGGACTTTGGAGGAAACAGGTGCTCACAGCTTTATTGTTTCAATGCCAAGAAAAACCTGGAACCTGGACTAAAAATCTGGCTTAATGGATCTGAATGGACAAAATGTATCCACCCCTTGTGTTATCCCCTAAAGTATTGGCGTGTGTGTGGCTTTGTCTGTTTTTGTGTTGGGGGGTCTGATCACCCTGGCCACACAATCACATAGACAGCATAGAGTCCAATTTATAGCGAGCACTTGCTCTATACAGTTATGTGTCATTGAACGAAACCAGCGTATCTACAGAGCTGCTCTACACATGCACACTTCATAATTATATTGTAACTTCTACAAAAGAGAGAAAACAAATATTTCAGAAGTAGTTAGGATGAATAAAAAAAATCAAACACAAAAACATGATATAAAATTTCTTTTAATTTAAATTTGTCCTGCAAATGAAGTCAAACAAATACAAATTTAAATTGCTATAAAACGTTTCTTTTAAATGCCATTATCGATAACATCTCTTTCACTTTCATCCGGCTTATCTCTATTCAGTACAAACTAATCCTTGAACTCCAAGGGCATAAATAACTTCTTAAACATGTCTTAAAAAAACTATATATAGGCCCCAGGCCATCAGGTTAAATACACATTGTAGGAGTAAAAAAAAAAAAAAAAAAAACTCAGGAAGTGCTCTTCCACATTTAAAACCTTCACTCACCATCTTCCTAATAAACATACATTTCCTCTCTTTCCTCTTTCCACATCCAATATCTTTCTACAAAATGTTTTCTTCCCCTTTTCCTCTCTTTACATCACTTCACCAACCTTCATCAACACTTTCATTCAATCTTTTTTGTCACATCTCCATTTACCAATATTATCCCAACATTTCTGATAAAGTACGGGTTTCATATACAGTCCAGATTTTTGTCCAACTAATATTTCAAAAAGGTAGGAAAAAAATACTGTTGTTCTCCAAATTAGGAAAAAGTCCAAATCTAACAATCAGTACTGTGTAATCTAAGTCAATTAAAAATCTAGTGATTCTTTTCCCAGGTTTCATATTTTCGAGCAGATTTGGCTGTAAGTGATGTGATCCTCAGCAGGCCTGCAGAACTGACTGGAAGGGCTCAGTCAGCACCTTGTAGCGGATCTTGGTGTTGGTAATGGCTCCGTGTTTCTGTCGGAGGTGCAGACGCAACTGGCTCTTGTGTCGGAAGTGAAGGCTGCACTTCTCACACTGTTAAAAAAACAATACCAGAATCCCATAGATTAGAGATTAAGAATGTAAGAGGGTTATTTCTTCTGTGTGGTCAGGTACAATGCTGTTTATGTGGAATAAATTCCACCTACAGAGTATGGTTTCTCTCCAGTGTGGATGCGCAAGTGGCTCTTCAGCGTCTGCAGGTGGCGGAAGCGGGTCCCACAAGTGTGACAGGGGTAGGGCTTCTCACCTGTGTGGATCAAGACGTGGGCCCTGAGGTGGGCAACCTGATAACAGGACAGAGCAAAGAAAAGACTGAGAAAAACATTTTCTAGTTGTCAGAAATCACAGGCTCGCTTTAAGGTTTAACAACAGATGTCTTTATCTCCAGTCTTTGAGGGAATTTACCTCCAACGTATAAATGTGTCCCTGGTTGAAATCTGCCTCTACTAATGTACCTGTCTTCAGCAAGAGGTGAAGTTAAGCTATTGGTTTGGGACTTTAACTCCTCCTTTCATGATGGGTCAAAATGCCTCCACATCTTGAGGTCAGGTTCTATAAATCTCTGCCACTGACCTGTTACTTGAATTTGATTTGGTTGTTCTGGTGCAGAGACACAACTTAAAGCTTTTCGGATACCTTTTTTTTTGAAAGCTGGAATTTGAGAAGCTTGATCTATAGTCATGCTTAATAAATAAAAACATTTGTTCAGATGGGACTTGTTTTTTCAGATATTTTGAAAATGAAAACCTTTATTCAGGAGAGAATAATTCATTAACTTTAATTTCCGTGGTAAAACATATATATATATATATATATATAAAACATATATTATCTGGTATTATGTTCTAAAATAAATTCTTGGTTTTCTTTACCCATAGGTGGAAAAAAGTATATAAAGGCTTGTTTGTGTAACATTATGCTGTCAGTGTCAATTATGTCAGTAAAAAAAGTAAACTTTACAATGATGTTCTTCACTAAATAACATGATTTTTAAAATAACATCTCTAAATGATTCATCACTTGTCCAATACTCATTTTTTATGCTTTTTAAGGGACCCTTTATGCTTCTTCAGTGGTTTTCTGTTACATTTTTGCATCTCTAAAAAAGGTTTATATGCCTAAATTAAAACATAAAAAACATAACAATATGGCCTATAAATAAAACTAAACATGTCAGATTTTAAATGCTCATTGAGGGAAAGGAGAGGAGATGCATTCTTGCATTAGTCATTTCAGTATGAACTTTTGGGTTTCACAAAACTGAGTTTCCTCTTATCTTGGAAGTTCAAATTCTGGAAAGTGCCACGCCCTGCTTAAGCGTGTTCAAGCTGCAAGTTGGAAAACCAATAGGATTTGCTTATTTTTTTTACTTGGTGAGCATGGTGGCTAACATTAGCATCAGGCTGAGCAAACCTGCTTTCAACAGCTGTACATTAACTCAGCATGTGGTGAATATAAGAAGGAAAAAAGTATTTTTGTTTTGTTTTGTTTTTTTGCAGTACCAATCAATGACAGCCACAGCAGCTGTTTAGAAAGTCTAGTTTAGTAAGATGAAGTCAGAGTTTTTTTTTTCCAACTTGGAACTCTACTTTTTAACGATTAGAGACACCTTTCAAGGTTCTTGAAAAGTATTAGGAACTTCATAAAAATGAGAGACCAATGTTTTCCAGCTTGGCTAACTTCTGTCTAATAAACAGGTCACCTTATGTGATGACGCACCATTTTTCCTCACCTGAACAAATCGAGCTCCGCAGGTGTCACAGCGGTAAGGCTTCTCTCCTGAGTGAATGCGGGTGTGAGTTTTTAGGTTTGCTGGTCGGTTAAACTGAGCCCCACAAACATTGCAGCGGTATGGTTTGTCTCCTGCCAAAAAAAATAAAAAATTCACTCACATTACATGATTGTTGCTCATTTAAAAAGCAGCTAAATAAAAAAAAAAAATGATAAAGTTTTTTTGAAGTTTCACCTGAGCTCACAGATTTAGTTGCCTGAAGAGAAGTGGAGTAAGGGAAGGGCAGGTAGCGGTTCTCACACTTGATTGGAGGTTGGTTGAATTTGGCAGCTTCTGGATCAGATGGAAGAAGTTTAGGAAAAATGAAGCCAGGTGAGCCTGCATAAGCAAGGAGGAAAAAAAAAACTATTTTAGGCACTTAAATATTAGCTTTTTGTCTAAAATGGTTGCCTTTGGGCCTACCTTGTTCCTTCTTGAGTGAAGCAGACACTTTTGGTAGATCCAGAGAGGGAGGTGGCCCGAGGGGAGGGGCTCGGCCAGAACCCTTGTAGCAGGAGGCCTGCCCCTGTCTGATTAGTGAAAGAAAACATATTTATCAGTTCATTTTCTACCTACATCATCATATTTTTCTTGTTCTTCTAAATTACCTATCAATCTGACCAGGCACTTCTCCAGACCACGCCTCTGTTGGAGCTTTGAGAGCCAAATCTTGACACTGAACCTCCTCCAGCTGCTCTACTTTCACTGCAGAAGCTGCAGCACAGAGAGGGTTCAGGACAATGTACTTGTACTTCTTCCAATTGCAGGCCTTTGGGTCTGGTGTGGCTTTGCTTTCAATCTAAAAAAAATCAAATAAAACATTTATAATTCTTCCATTTTTCTCATTGATATCAGCCACTTTCTTCTTTTTAGACCCACCTCAGGGTTTTTGCTGCAGGTGCTGGATTCAGAGGGGGAGTTAGGATGGCAGCTGGAGCGGTCTGGGCTGTTTGGGGATAAAGTCCGAGTGTTTAGGACGGGTGAGTCAGGATGTTCTTTCACCTTGTCTGACCCGGGCTGGCAGGGCGGGAAAGCCCCTGGCTTTAGAGAGCCTTCTGCAACAACAGGGAACCTGCAGGAAAAACAAAGGAAGTCTGTAATGAGACCAACATGCCGAGAGACAAAGGCGACACAAGCTGCAGCGGCGGCTTCTAATATTGTGCAAATGGAACAAGAGCAACAATTTCCCCCATTTCTAGACTAACTCTTGTTTATCATGTGAAAACTAACCTTGTTTCTGCATCTGCCTGTCGGGACTGCTGAGGTCCTTTAGGGGAAGCAAAGGCTACAGAGACACTGGAGTCCAGCTCCATCTGGGGGTGTCTTGCACCCACATTCTCTGTGCTGGAAAAGAACAGTCAAAAACAATCAGCAAGTTTGTATCAAATGCATCAAAACGCTGGAGGAGATAGCAGATTTCCAGACTCTCACCAATGCAGCTGCATGAAATCCCTGCATGTGTCGGCCACATGGTCCATCTGCAGATAGGCAGCCACGGCCAGCACCCCAGAGACGATGCTTGGTGTCAGAGGGAGGCGGGAGGTGTACATGAAGTCAAGCAGCAGAGAAACACAGGATGGGTCCAGGGTACTGGGAAGAGAGACAGTCATGAGCTGCTCTTTGCTTCCACCTCCACGCCCCTGAAGAAGCACCCGGTGGGAATAAAGGGAGTAGAAAAACCCACTGCACAGACAGAGGGGAACACATTTGGAAAGGGTTAAACATGCATGGTCAAACAACTGCTTGAGTTCAGATAATACCACGTTGCCTTCAGAGCAAAGCCTCCTCAACTGTGCACCGACCTGCAGGCGACGAGCACTGCACAGTGGGCCTGCAGCTGAACACTGCCGACCACCAGGGTGGTGTCGGTCAGGATGCCTCTGTGCCGGAGCTCGTTCAAATTCAGCAGCACATCATTGGAGTGGCGAGTGAACTCCTTCACATATCCTTCAGCTCGCATGGTCTGCCTTCCGTCTGCCCTGTAAACCCCCAACACGTCCATCAAGCTTGCCTGGATCTACGGAGGAAACAAGAGAAGTAATTATGAGAATCCCAGAGTTGCAGCTCATAGACTACGTGCAATGTCAGACTTATATACCTGGATTTAATTGATTGAATAAATAAACTGGAGTGTCCCAGACACATCAGTTAGGTGAGACCAGCTCCCTACTCGTACCTGCATGAGAAAAAATAGTGGTGTATATGTTTAAAGACAAAGCAATAGTAAAGAAAAACAAAAATCTAGAAACTGGAGCTGATGAGACCTTTCCTGAATGATGCCACAGCAAGTTTCAAGATGTCTTTAACAGATAGTGTTGCTTTCTTAGATCTTTCTTAGAGCTTTTTTTCCAGTGCAGATTAATTCAATATTAATTCAATATTAAATGTCCTGCTTGTTTCTTAGTCCAGTCTAGTTTGACTTTATTAATTTACCATTAAACTGATCCTGAACAAAATGTCATTATGAGACAATTACTAGATTATCCCGATTTATGATTTAAGCATATATGTCCCTAACGATTATCTGCTTTTAATTATAAACTCAAAGCACTTTCATGCTGTTCGTCCTTCAATTAAAAACAAACTCAACTCAATAACAAAACATTTGCCATCATACAATAATAAGACAGCCAAAATAGACAAAAAAATAAAGAGATATGATCTCAGAACTCACCCCGACCAGCAGGGACGAGAAACACTGTGCGCCTCTATGCCTTCAGAATCCCCTGAGTCTGTGTTCAGTCAGCAGTCAGAGGGATGAGGAGCAGGCATTCACCTTCAGACCAACACTGTAGCTCAACTGAAGGGAGAGCCCTTTATAATATCTTGCAGGAAACTCCCTTACAACCATAGTCCCTTGTTTCCTCCTTCCTCAATAGCCCACGCGCATCGTGGAAGAGAGGCAGGAAAAGACCAATGGCTGCAGGCTCCAGTCGTTTGAGTATTTTTAGGGGGCTATTAGTTTTTCTAAACCCCCATGGTTCTGTGAGGAGTAATGGCAGGAAAGCTTGGGGTGTTTTTTGTGCCACGCTGAAAAAATATATACTGGGACCCCTTGGGGAGAGGCAGTACGTGCCTGGTTGTTTAGGGGTAGAACTGGGGAACATCCCCCACCAACGCTTTCCGAACACTTCAGTCCTGTCCAGGATAGAGGAAACTGCAGGAGGGGAAGTTGGAACGCCAGTTTATTGTTTGATAAACAAGCTATTCTCCAATCACTGAGATTTTATCCTCTATTCATTCAAGGTTGACAGATCCATTCCTATTGTCCCTGAATGGTAATACGGTCTAAAAATGACATGATTTTAAATCTACACTCTGATTTGAGAAAAACTGCAAAAAAAAGTATTTTTTTTCACTGAAGTAACCTTTAGCTGTTGTGTAATTTCTGCAAACCTTCCCAAAAATGTTAGAAATTAAGTGTTAATTTAAAAATATAAGAGTTTATTGAGTTTATTTTCTTTTTTATGGAGATAATAACCACTAAGGACACTGAGCGGAAGCCTCTGGCTTGCTGCCTGGGCGGAGGAGTGTTTATGAGGACCTGTGGAGGAAGGAAGCAGGACAAACTTGATCTTTCTAGATGGGAGACACGTTCTCCTATAAGTGCTGAAAAACAAACTTTACTCCACCCTAAGTGAGAGAAATGCAGCCGACAGATGTACAGGAACTCCCCAAAAACACACACATATTCAGAACTCTGAACACATCCTGCGAAGCTGCACAGAAACAGGGATGAAAACGTGGTGCAGGACATCCGTCAGTGACATAAAGCAAGAAGGGGACACTGACGGAGCGGGTAGGTAGTCATGGAGGCAGGGGACAAAGGCCAAGAGATCACTTATAGCTGAAAAACAAACGGAAAGTCAACTCATCGTCAAAGCAGTCCTGAATCACTCTCTAATAGAGTCGCAGAAAAAGTGAACTTTGAACTACGATATTTCCTTTGAATGTGTTGAACAAGAAATATCAAAGAAGAAAGAGGGAAAACCTTATCAAAGAAGATTATTTAGGCCCATTGTTGAGTTTAACCGGTTTTAATTCAAGTTTCAGGCATTAGAGAAATGCATCAAGGAGACAAACAGCGGTTTGAAACCTTTTCCATATTCATCAAATGTCTAATACAAACCTTCATTTGCATAGATTCTGTCAGGAGTAGGTAGTGTGTAATTGTAAACTGGTTGAAAAATAGTGAATGATTTCCAAATGAGAGCAAAAAAAAATATGAAAGGCGTGGCAAGGAGTTGCACCCTAAATGTACCAATGAGGGTTATCACAGATCCTTCCTCCCAGCAGCTGTAAGACTTTATAACATCACTGTTCTCAACAACCTCAGAAAGTTGTTACTGTCATGCTGATGTTTGCACATTTTTCACAGATCCATGATTGTAAAAATGTCCACAGCTGTTATTGATTTTTTGATTCTCCAGATACAGAGTATTAGATTGTAAAACACAGTACAATGCAATACTCTGTTTGCTTAATTTTCCTATCTGTTGTTTTTATACACTTCTCTAAGGCCTAAATTATGTGAACACTTCTACTCTAAACTTTGCTGCTGTAAACACCACTATTTCCCCATTGTGGGAAAATAAAGGTATTCTATCGTATGCATTCCCTTTCAGTCAATACTTTGTGAAGCTGTGTCGTTCCTGCAAGACTGAAATATTCAGAGATGTCAAGTAATAAAGCAAAAATACTTTGTTACCTTAAGTAGGACTTTTGGCTATCTATACTGGATTTAGGGATGCACAATATAATCAGCCCCCTATCGGTATTGGCCTTAAAACTGAATATCGGACATCGGCCACCCCACCGATATTTAACCCGATATTTGATCAGCTTCTGAGTTTCTAAACTCTAAAAAAATAAAAATACTACTTCTTCTTCCTCAAAAACTTATTTTTTACAGACTTAAAAACTTCTAAAGACGAGGGAAAAAATATTGATACATTAAAATATCACAATATCTTCATATGCTGATATATTGCCATTTAAAAACACCATATCAATCTCTTTTACTAATGAAATATTGCTATATGTCATCGGTATGCTACGAAATCCCCCGAAAATTCACAAAATTTTGCCATATTTTTATATGTTGATATATTGACGCGGTATCGATCTATTTTTCTAACAAAATCTCACAAGAATTTGCAAAATATCAGAGTTTGTAACAGAACGATGAAATTTCACCAAATTTTGAAAGTAAAATAGATCGATACCGCGTTTTTAAAAATCTATTTGATATCAGCATATGAAAATATATTTGAGTATATTATTTTTCAAAGTGTCAGAAATGGATAACAAAACTGCTATTTTCAATGACTACTTATTTTTGTCCAGCTTTAACATCGGTATCGATATCGGTTATCGGCTACGTGAGTTTTAAAATATCGGCATATCAGATATCGGCCAAAATCCCAATATCGTGCATCCCTACATGTGAGTGATTATTTTTAAGACAACTTTACTTCTACTCCCTATTTTTTATTTTTATTTTGCAATTATCTCTACTTTCTACTTGTGACATTTTAAAAATAGACTTATTAGTTCTGTTTCATTAAAGCTCATTTTAAAACCATCAAAATAACTTGTTTCATCCAGACAATTAATTTCTTTGTGGCTTCACTACAAACCAAAATAAACAGTATTTCAAGATGATGCAAAGTTAAATTTGACACTGTTACTATTAGTTAAAACTAAGAACATTAAGTGTAAGAAAGTTATCAACCAGAATTGTAGAAAAATGTTCCTTTAATAGGGCAGTGCAGTAAAGCATCAGTCTTTTTTTCATTTTTTTTCCTGCATTACTTTTACTTTTATACTTAATTTAAGAATTTTTACAATTTCACTGGAATAAAAAGCTTAAATTGATAATTGATTCTCTAACTTCTACAAAAGTATTTTTAAATAGTAGGATTAATACTTATACTTGAGTAATAAACATGAATACTTTTGACACCTCTGGAAATGTTTGTCTATTCTTTGTGAAATAGCACCAACTCAGTCAGATGAAATGAACAACGTCTATGAATATTCAATTTCACTTTTGATATGGATCCTTTACTTGATTTAGATCTGGGCTTTAACTTTATACCTAGGTTTTTATTTTATTTTAACCATTATAAGACATTGACATTTTGGGTCAACGTCCTATCTGATGGTAAACCTTCACCCAAGTAATCTTTTGCAGCCTCTAGCAGGTTTTGTTTGGGATTACCCTGTGTGTAGCTCCATTCATCCCTCCAATCGACTTTGCTCAACTTTTCTTTCCTGCTTGAACAATACAACCTCAAACTAATAGTACCACATTTTACTCACAGAGTTGTTTGTTCAGGATACTGAGCAGTGCTTGTTTTAACCAACAAAGGAGCTTTTGTATTTAACCTATAGAGGTGACTAAGAAGATTTCATTCAACAACTAATTTCTTTACCACTGCTTTCTAGGAAGGATAGACTACTGATATTTATCTGATCAACAGATGTTGTCACCTATGATGTGAATCTCTGCAGCTCCCCCAGAGTTCCCATGATCCTCTAAACTGCTTCTCTGATTGATGTCCTTTTCTTAGCCTTTCAGTTTAAGTGTACAGGCATATCTAGTTAGGTTGGGTTTCGTGCTGTTTGGATTTTCAGAGAAACTTAACTGCATTCTGTGTGATATTTATATCTGCAGTTATTTTTTTATAGCATAGATCCACTTTAAACCTCTCCATAACCATGCCCCCTGATCTGTTTGCTGTGTTCATTGATCCTCATGAAGCTGTTTGCTCTCTAACAAACATAAACGGAAAAGCCGATTTATACCTAGATTACATTACACATGATTTTATTTATTAATTAGACTCTTAAATCAATTGGTTGCACTGGGTTTTATTTAAGGGTATTGTACCATATGTGCAAAAGATCCAATACAATATGCATTCAATTGAGTTATGTGACAGGAAGCAAAGATGAATCTGGCCTAAACGTTGACATTTTTCAATTTTTAAGCCATTCAATAAAAAGTTGCCCCACATCATTGCTACTTCTTTAAAAAGAAATGAGAATCGGAAGTATTGTTTGCATGGTATGTTAAGCAAAATGAGAGTGTGTCCTTCTGCTTTAATGTTTTCGGATGGAAGGTTGGATCAATTGTGAACTTTGTTAAAATGAGAAAAAAAAACAGAGGAAGAAACATAAAGGAAAACAACTATTAAGAAAACAGAGTGGGAGATGTAGGTCTATGCTACTTCCAGGCATTGTGAGAAGAACGGATGAGGGGGGCGGTTGAGGAAAAGTGAGAACATTACTAAACGGGTTCACCAATGGCCGGAAGCCGTTGAGTCTGTCCCGTTGGCAGAACCGGGCAACGCTCTCTGTGACTTCCTGCATCTTAGCCCATCTGTGAGTGCCCTTCAGCCACCGACTGGCCCTGTTTCTGACTGAAATAAAGACACTGTGTTATTAAAAATACAAAATATGAGGTTGTACAACCTGCTTTTTACATCTAAGGCTTCCAATCTTGGGGTGGTTTCCTGGTTTGCCTGGAAAGAACTATTAACCATCTGATAACACCAAATGAGGCTGTGATCTGACTTCAAAAGTTCCACTCAGTGCCAAAAGGTTGACAATAACACAGATCTGAGTTAACTGCTTCTTCCTGTGGATGTAGAGCTATCTGGACATATAAGGGCAGAAAGCGGAGGCGCAAATGGAAGAAGGGGGATCCCAAGGTAAGCCAATTAAATTTGTTTACTCTTTGACTGAAACAGAGAAAATTGATTAATAAAGACATTCTTCTGTTGAAGAAGTTACTCTGGTAAAGCAGATTTACATCATGTTTGGTTAAATGGGTGGAGACAGAGAAAGAAATAGGGTGAGGGG